TATTTATCTTTAAACAAAAAGATATGTGGGGACTAGCATCAGACAATGTATACCATATTTTGTTTTAAATAAAGTTTGTAATAAACTTTATTATGTTATTTGCACATGCTTCAAAATTTCAAACCATCTTAGTAAAGGCTTTATACGGTCTTAAATTATATTATAGTTACAAAGCCACTTAGTGCCAGCTGGCGTGACTGACATAACTTTGATAAATACCCACGGTTAAAATAAACTAAGCAAAATTGTTTATAAAGAAAATTAAATACAATAAAACATAACATTGATTTAAACAATTATATTTTGAATGTAATAAAGCAATTATGATTAATTCCTGAATTAAGGAATGAATAAGAGAACAAAAAATAAAGTTTCACGAGTTCAGTGCATTTTAGCATATATAATATTTATATTTAATACTGGTCATAAAAGTAAATTAAGTTTCAAAATTTGAAGTGTAGTTAGGAGTCTAGACATATCTGTGTATGACATTGATTGAAAAAGGAAATTCTATGCTTTACAACCTAAAACTTTTATTACGGACGTCCGAGCTATATGAGTTTAGAACAGTAAGCCAAGGAGGCTGTCCAAACCAAAATAAATAGCTTTAGATTTGCGTCTTTGACATTACAAATTACCTGGGTACATTACCCAGGTAATAATATTACAATTGTAGTATGTAAGTATATAGTACAAAAAACAAGTGACTATTGCTTAGCTCCTGCAAACCAAGACAACAAGATACTGAGCCACCGAACGTGATCAGGAATTGGAAAGCCAATCAGGTTAGATTCTTAGTTTTATTTTCATACATTTAACAGATTCTGTTTAGGACTAAAAAGTTTTAAAAAATATTAACCAAAAAATAAAAAAAACTCGCCATATTGCAGAAATGTATTGATAGTAATTTCATCAAATGGCAACATCTTTAAAATGTCATTATTGATTGTCATTGTTGTCATCTGTCATAGTGTGGTTCGTTGTCGACTAGATTGTGCGTGGTCTAATTCTTGGATATTCTGTGATATAAGTACCTACGTTAAAATATGAATAATCAGTTAATATTATTAACAGATATTTAAAATATAACGAAGTTTTTGTCGGAAAGGATGTCTAAACTAAATGGACACAATAAATAATGTGTCAAATGTCATTACTCATAGTGAATTTAGCGCCCTCGAGCAGGTTTCTTATTTTATTGGTCTGGCTTTAAGTATAAAGATTAAACTAGCCGTGGGAACTAAGAAATAATGTAGTTCAATTAGTGAACGCGTCCGTAGTTACACAGATTAGTTCTTTCGAACATGTAGAATAGTTGTTGTATTCAATTATATGTTACCTTTGTAGTAAAACATGTCGAAACAATGAAATAGATAAGAATTATTTATCGTACTTGTTTTTATTACATTTAAAGTACATTTATCCTTTGATCTCTTTCCGCGCCTTGTATAACATAATTTTTTGCCGTTGAGAATAACTGTAAGACGGGTCCGGATCGAAATTGTTTAGACGACAGCTAGCGGTGTTGAACATTTTTGGCGAAATTTATTGTCTTTTTATAATTCAATTTACGAATATTTTCGAGGATTCATACATATTAATCGATACAGCCAAGTTAATCTTTATTCGTGATTTACGTTTATAATGATTTTGGCTTTTGGTTGCTTTTTGAATGATCTCAAATGTTTTTTGGTCTTGCTGGTAGTTGACCGGACGAGTTTGCGAGGATTTAGACTATGGAAACTTTTGCAAAATGTTGCCTCGGACCGACGATATTGATGGATTCTTGAAGCCAAGAGTATCTCTATCGATATATTTTTTTATAGTCGAAACAAGAATTGTGTTTGCAAGAACTATAAGATATCACAAGTTGGCAGTGGTTAGTTTAGCAAACCCAACCATTTACACCGTATTAAAATCTCATTTTATTAGTATTAATACAATAAAGTTGGATAAAAGTCATTAAAATGAAATACAGTCTGGTTTAACAGAAAAAAAACTTGGGGCAGGATTAGGTTCTTTACAGCATCTGCCTGGATATTCCGAGGAGTATTTGAATAAAGAGGTTTTTGTGCATTTTATGAGAAAATAAAACGGCTATGAAATCTTAATGGACATTTTCCGTCACTCCAGGCAGTAGTAAAGTGTTACGAATTATCTCTATCTTTTTTACGGTACTTTTATGAGGCTTAAGGAGCGGTCGCGTCCATAAAATGCCATAAATGGTGACTAGTTACATCCTTTTATAATTACTACGCAGTCAAATTATGTGATTATAATTAAACCTGTTTGGCCGGTTCTGTGGCCGTTGATGCACAATTTCTATTAACAATAAATATTAAGCCTGAATTGACAAAACAGGCACACAATTGTTAATCATAGGGGGACGGAACAATTAAAACAGGAACAACGGGAAAGAGTTGACTGATAATATTATTTGCCGATATAAACACAAAGTTCATTGGCAACCTACGAAATATTGTGGGCGTAAATAATTAAAAGAAAATTTGCAAAATGATTCGCGTTCAATAAAGCAAAAGATAATGAAAATTAAACGATGCGAACAAATATGAACTCTCGACAAAATTATGAAAAATATCTTTTAACAAATTAGGTATAAATAGATTCACAGATAAAAAAAAGTTTTCCCAGTTATTTTATACGCTTATATTGTATCTCCCTCGGCCCCAATTTAATTATGAATCTTTTTTAATATAATTAGAGATAAATCTAAAAAAGATTTTTGTTTTCAATAAAGTACTTGTTAATTTATTTGAAGTTATTATATTTTTAACTCAATCATTATTTATTTGAGTTGTTGGGTATATTCTTGAGTACACGGTCTGGTCTACTTAGCCTTCCGTATATGTTTCGGAACCATTTGTTTTTCTTATATGCAAGTATATGATCAGCCTCCTGTGTCGAACACACGCCGTCGACTTTAATCTAAGGCATGCCGGTATTCTCACAATGTTTTCCTTCATCGTACGAACGGGTGTTAAATTTTTATTACTAGACAAGTAGGTGACCCTTCTCACATATGTGACATAACACATGTCATCGATTTTTGGATTTCAGGCATTTTTTATTTATATTTATTTATTGATTTATAAAAACACTCCTGCCCTAACAGGCGACCCAAAATTGACAAGAGTGCGCAATAAATGAATAAAATTTACAGACGAAACAAAAAGAAAACAAACATAAGAAATTAATTAGGAAAAACAAAATTACATAATAAAAAGTACAAGAAATTAATTAACTACTACGAGTATAGGCACTAACAAATAATTGAACTTTTGCCAGTTCACTCAACGGAGAATGAAAAAGATCCGTTAACCTATGTAATTCGTTAACTAAATTAATACAACGAATCATATATATGTGCCTTTTTCAGAAGGTTAGTCCTAGCTGTGGGCTCATGAAGTAACGGCAGACGATGGTCCGAGTGCAAGTTTTAATTTAATTTAAATTTGTTCTCGGCCTTTGGGAGTGTTTGCACGGTCGAATTTCTAAGCAGTGAGTATGCTACATAAGAAAATAGACTGTGTAGGCTTAGAATGTACGTATCAATAAGACCTAGGCCGAGAGTGGTAATTACACGTGGTCTAGTATTCAACATTCTTTGTCCCTTGGGTAGAATGCCTGGCGAACCCCGAGGGCCCATCTTGAGGGCTCGCTACCCCGGCGGACGATGTCGCTTTCTGACGTACCCATCAGGTACATTGAAGCTAAGGTACTGAAGTACTGTCGAATTACAAGTTCTTGCCATGTAACAATTTTTATGAAGTACATCACAAGCGCGAATTTTCGGCGTACTCTGAGCTCCTTGTAGCCCACAGAACCAAGAATAAATAAGGACTAAATAAGGCATGTCACGATGTTTTCCTTAACGTTTCCAAGTGTTAGATGTGCTAAGACCGAAAGTCCAATAATGGACAGCTGGGAATCGAACCTATCCTCACCTCGGATGAGAGTCGCACTCTGAAGACTAACGCTGCCCACACAGAATATCAAATAATCACATTACTTATTAAATTCCCTCTCCTATTATTTGGTATAAGAGAAAAGCTCTGACTTTTATTTCTTTTAGCATACCAACATTATTATTTATGGAATTTAAAACATTAAATAGCTGATTTTAATAATTTATATTTAATATAGAAAGTAACCTAGAATGTTGACCATAAATATCGTGAATTTTGGCACATTTGCCACCTACTAAGAGACATGACAGTTAAATTTAATTTTATTCACTTCTCCGATTATATCTTAGCAGCTATAAAGAGGACATTGGCTCAAACAGTCTTGTTTGGGTTTTGGCCATGTGCATAAAACTTAATATTTCCGAAGAACCGGTGAGGAAAAATTATAATGTTCTTGTACAAAATGTATTAGATTGTTAAAATAATATTTTAATATTTATTGAAATTATACGAAGAATACGTTAAAGAATACGTATCCTTACAATTATTCATTATGTTTTAAAGAAAAAAATAGATTTCGAAGTTACTGTCACAGATTCACAAATTTAGAGTAATAAATAAATGTGTTGAATGCTTTTTACTCAGGTAGGAGTATCCTTTATAATGTATGAAGGACAGCATAAACATGCCAATAATTATTTCATAGTAACTTGTTCTTGTATTTTTTATATTTGTGTGTTGATTTTTATTTTAGCCAATCTTCATCAGGTTGCCTTGATGAAGCTCCTCCTATTACGACTTTTTTATACTTTTTTTTATGTATTATTATTGTTTGTGATTAAAGTGGTCATTATCATAATACTGATGTATGCTAAGAGATGTTTTCTCTCGTCGATTGATTATTCACAAAACATTTTAGTGAACCGGTTCCGCAATTTAAATTATAATCTAGTCTTAAAATCGTAAATTTATTTTAATTTCAGATTTAGGTCTCACAATTAAACCTAATATTTTTTGCACTTTAATACCAATTATAATTTTAAATTCGTTACAAAAAAATTCAAAATTCGTAATTTAAAATTTGTGAACTTCAAGATCTGCCTCTGAGTTACCATCCATCGACACATCTTCAAGATGTATAATTTTCTCGACATTTTCGTTAAACGTGACAACTGATTTTCTTCTTGGCCTTTTGACCTTTTCTCCAAATTCATCATCTTCAGACTCATCAGTGTTATCTTTTAACTTATCAATTGATTGAATTACAATCGGCCATTTGGAATCATTTTCGGAAACATCAATTATTGCTTCAGTTTTCTCAACATTTTTAGATGATGGCTTTTCTGGCACTTCTTTGGGAGCATCGAGTCGTTCTTGAAGCTTTTTTTCACTCTTTCGTAGTTCCTCTATTCCTATAAGCCTTGGTGTTGTAAAGATAGGGGTCACTTTTGGTGATTCGATAGAATCGTTTCGTGAACGCAAACTATTTTGGTCACTGAACTGATTGTAGTCGTTCGCTATTTTCCTGTAAAATAATATGTTACTATGTTACTAAACTCTTTATGAAGTATACTGTTTGAGATTATCATAATACTGTAGAATGTCAATCATGTTTTAGTTTCACATTATTTAATTTTGTTGACAAAAAACTGTTTATCTTTCGGAAAAATATTTAGTACCTTGTTACACAATAACGTTTTAAAACAGATGAGAACTATTTCCATAAAACATGAACGTTTTGTCAGATTTTTTTTTAAGACAATTCACACCCATTGACCTAGTCCCGTGCTAAGCTGGTGAAGCTTGTGTTATGGGTACTAGGCTATACGGATACGGATATACATATATAATGTACATAGATAGACATATAAATACATATTTAAACACCCAAGACCTAAGCACAACACCAAATGCACATCACATCGATGTTTGTCTCAGCCGGGGATCGAACCCGGGACCCATGGGCTCGCAGTCAGGAGTACTAAATACTAGACCAATGAGTCGTCAAATTCAAAGTGATAAGGATAAAACGTGACGTTTTCTGTAAGACGGTACAATTATTTTCTGTAAAAGACAAACCTTCGCAAGTAGAACCATACCCCGAAAACTACAATTATGATAAGAAGTAACACTGCTAGTACTATAGTTGCCGCTAACAATCCAATCTCACGTTCAAAAGCAGGACATATCTGTAGTTCATCTAGATGATCTTCCAGTGATAGGACACGGGCCAAGCTGACCGTTACTATGCTGTTACTAAGATCACTGTAAAAATGAAGTTTTAGTTAAAGTAGTTCAGCCACCAACAAAATATTTGTATAACTGTCAACTCTAGATATTTGTATTCTAACTCCAGCTTCTTTTAGAGGTGGGTCATACCTAAAGAGCAATGTTGGCCTTGTGGCTTTAGTCTGCGCTTCACAACCCAAAGGTGGTTGCGTTCGAATCGCGGCTGTGCACAAGTAAAATTTTTTTCTACTTGCTCACTCACTCGCGCGGCCTAGGAAAACATGGTCACGTCATGACTTAGACCTCAAAATCGACGTCAGGCAAACACACAAAAACCTTAGTTTTAGTCTTAGCATAGACACTGGTTTCTTATGGTACCTAAACTTTACTGATACTTATGGTATCAACACTTTGTACTTGACTATTTAAGATCGTAAGACCAGGATATTTTAATTAAAAACTTACTCAGTCAGTTGCGTGACATCAACAGGTTCATGCTGTTTTAGGCCATAAACATAAAGTCTTAACGAGGCACCATTTGTATTTACATCACGTCGCACCCTTGATTTGTCTCCTTCGTTGTCATAACGGCTTTCCGAAATTACGGTAGAGCGAAGTGGTTTTACATCATATCCAACAGCCTTAGTCAGTTCATCCAGTATTGTTGATTCATCGTCAAGAAATCCACTTGGAACTGTTACAACGGCTATCTGATTTCTATCAAGTAACCGCACCTGTGGATTATAATTAAATCATATTATTAATAACTCGAAAATAACTGGACGGATTTTAAAATTCTTTGTCCCTATCTCCGTAACCTAAGGCTATATTTATTTCCAAAATAATAAACAAATGTCTAGCCGAGATAGGCCGCTAGTATTCATAAAAGTCTTGTTAGGGTGTGTGTCATCTTTTACTACATATTGGCGGACACTAGTCCTTGTGTTTATGAAATAAAAGTATCATAACGAAGGAATATTAAAGTACATATAATCACTACATAGTGTATGCTTAAATCTTTAAAACTACACAACGGATTTTGATGCGGTTTTTTAAATAGATAGAGTGATTGAAGAGGAAGCTTTATATGTACAATAACATCCATTAAATAGTGGAGAAATACTGTTATTTTTAAGGTTTCTAATGTTGCTAATGCGCTTACATTGCAAACACAGGCTAAACCCTACGAGATTTATCAAAATAATGTACTAAGTATTGTACCTACACATTGAAAAGCTCTACTGAAAACGACGCGATGGTATTATGTCTATCTCTTACGGACAATAACATTTTTTTGTCATTTACTTTTTACGACAAATAATGGCAAATTTTCGAAGCGATTTTAACCAATACAGTACAACCATTAATCCTTATCCTATTAAATACCGTGCGAAGCCGTGGCGGGTCGATAGTTAAAGATAATTAAATGCCTATTTATTTGTCTACTACGCTAAAATAAGTCAGTTACAATTATTATACAAAAATAGAAACATTTAAAGTAAGCTGCACAGTGCATATATAGAGCTATTTATTTATTTATAACCGCACCAAGAAGGCCACACATTAGAAAAAAAAGAAACTAATTACACAAATTAGAACCTCGAATAGATAAATTATAGGTGCGGTAAAAAACATACCTAATTAATATTCTCTAATGGTGGAGCGTATTCAGAATAAATTTACAAGATACATTTACGCACCCTAAATATTATTGCTTGTGAGACGGATATATTATTTAGTTGCACACTGGCTGAATTCACAAGAATTGTATTATTTTTAATTAGTTATAAAAAGGTTTAGGTTTTAAGTTTTACTTATTATGTTTTTAATTTAGTTTTCTATTGTATTAGTATTAAGTTACTGTCAAAATAGTAAATAAGGAAAATAAATAAATACAATTGGTGGATAACAAGGGAGACCAGAATTGGCAGAAACAAAGATTTGTATGGTCAGTGCCTAAAACGATGAACAATGTGCATTACAGTGTCAGCCGTAAATAAATAATATTATGTAAACAGTGAAGGTTAACTGGATAGTAAACAATACTCTCTGAAGTTTACATTATTAAAAGATACTTCAAAGATTTGGGGTCGAGTACCGTTGTTTTGTCAGATTTATAAGACTCTTTAATTAGTGGCTTTAATTTATTAAGGTCACCCGGGGCGAAAGCAACTATGGGGCTAAAGTGACTAATTGATTTTATTCACAATTTAATGATTTTTGTAAAACGTGCCATCTGTTGAAGAGTAGAGCAATTATTACTTTTTTTTATAAAGTCTAGATGGAGCTTTTAAGTCGCTAACTGTTGTACTGACAGAGCATTTTTTGACTACCGCCATTTTGGAGCAAAGTTTTGCGGCGCCGTCTGTTTAGTTTTGTGCCATAAAAAATATTTCACGTTATTTCCAGCCAAATTGAAGGTTCATCCTAACATAAAGATAAAACGTAAGTGCTTTTGGTATATTTGGTTAAAGGCTAAGTCTTTTAATTAACATTTTATTGACATAGTTACATTAACCTCAAATTTTTGTGCAGATGGGTAATTGCAACTATTTTTGCAGTTGCAATAGCCCCATCGTATTTGTATGAAAAAATCAAATCACTAGTGAAGTTCCGTGTCGATATTTCAACAAGTGAAGTTCACTATCTATTTGCATAAAATATTTACCTTGGTATCTGTGACGTATTTTTTTAAACTTATATATTGTTTTTGTTAATAATTTAATTGAATTTATTTACATAGAAAACTTAATAATACGTGTTATTGAAAGGCAGATTAGGCGTGCACAAAATACATTCAAACTATAAAACTATGAAAGCCTTTACATAAAGTTACGATTTTGTTAATCTGCAGAGACAGAACGATACTTACGCATCTGCCCAGTGAATCTCTCAATTCAGAAATTGGCAGTAAGAATTACTGGACTGATCAATATCATCCTAGGTTTAATGATTACTCACATAATGTGGCATTATTAAATGCCAATATTATTAAGTCAGCTAGACATTAAGCAAAAATGTTGATGTTAATTCCCAAGCAATAACTTTAGCAAGACTGCGTTTTTGTACTTACTTTCATGTTATCTATTATACTTACTGTCCTTAGATGTTTATTTGATTATAAGAAATGTTAAAACCTTTTACTATGAAGATTTATTTTTTAATGATTCGCATTTTAATTCTTTACCTTAAATCAGACTAATAATTTTTCGGTCCTTTCATCGAATTTTTTTTTCACGAAGATTTATCGATAAATTTAGTAGTACGTATCTGTCCAACACTAGCAAGTATGGGAGGCAGTCGCATTCGCCCCATAAAAAGTTTAAATTAATTTTTCTGGAAACTGAGCCTTATTCCCAGCATCTAGATACCAATTTCAGATACCTGTAGTGTGAAACTATATATACCCTTATTCCAAACGTATAGATTACGATTACAACAAGGTCATTTAACTGATAGTTGCATTAGCCTCAAGGTGGGGTAAATGTAACTTTTAGTGCTCTTATTCAACAAGAATGTAAATTATTCAATAACTTAAGCCTATTTTTCACGTACTTTATGTCGGAACTATTCAATGAAAGGCATGGAATAAAGTAAGTTCATTTAAACAACCATCATAATTAGGTAGCTAATGGTAGAGGACGACAAAGTACCAATTTATAAATTTTTAGTTGCTTTCGCCCCGGGTGACCTTAAGCCTTTTATCGCCTGTTACAGTGTTGAAACAGCAATGATTTATTTTAAATAAAGCTAATGTATATTAACGGTTTGTTGATATACAAAGCGAGTTTGAAAAGTGTATAGTTTTGTACATGTTAGTTTTGCAATCAGGAAAAATATGTAGGTAATAAATTCATAATGGGAATGAATATGACAAATGATACTGAACAGTATAGTTTTTTTTTTCATTAAATTATTATCCATTGTGGAGCAAGGTTGCAGCAAGCATTATATAACATTCTTAGAGATTAAAAGGAGTGGCGGAGAGTTCCTTGCATGTTGAATTCGTCCGTTCTTTGTCGTCTTTTAATTTGAAAGTGTTAAGAATTTGATTAGACTAAAATAATGGACTTTGACCTTTATAACATACAACCGAGAATCTCTTGATAAAATTTAGTTTAAAGAACTGTTTGTGATAAGTACTTATAACAACGGATAGTTACGATATATGAATGTACATTCAGATTAATTAATTATAAAAAAAAGTACAATCACCCATATACTTTATAAATTCCACAGTTAATAGAAGCCCTGTCAAAGACAACTCAACTCTTTAGAACGGCTGAGTACTACATTTTGAATATAGAACTTGGGCGTTCGTTTGTAATGTGGAAAAACACAGTTTTGGGTCTATGACACATAGATGCTATCATAGCTACGTGACGGCGGATTTTTCACGAGTCTAACAGTAAAAATTGGTACAAACAGGATATTGTCACCAGAGACCCAAACCTCGTGAGACTGGTTTGGTGCAAGTTCACATCCTTAATGGCTATTGGCACGAAAAGTTTACAGAAATGGTCTTATAAATAACGAATGAATGTTTTGTTTTACTCACGCAACCACACTACACTTTATACATTTTTGTTGCAATTCTGCGAAAATGTCGTTGCGGGAAAATCCAATTACTCGCAAAAGTTATAAAGAAACAAAAAGGTTTTAGAAGGCTCAATTTAAAAAAAAATAACAGAATAAGCGAGACCGCCAGCATTGCTTAATTGCATACTAGGTTTGACTACGGTAAAACAACAGCTGTTCTGCTCAAGCCAACAAGCAAATATCAGAAAAACAGTTGCGATTTATGTATCGGAAAGCTATGGAACTTATGTGATAAAGGAGGACCTTTTTATTATTACTAGAAGAAGTGGCGTAGGAACATTTGAACCTTATCATATCCAATTTTCATAAAAAATATGAATGTGGTATATAATATAATTGACCCCTATTAAATAGGTTTATGAATTTAATTTATGTCTCTTCTCGAACTCTGTAAGCCGATCGGCGTAATAAGTAGCCCATAAATAACCAATTGACCCACATTTCTTGCAGATTTTATTCGAATTTTTGTATTAAATATTTTATATTTCGATTTATTCGACACTGGACTTCAGCATGTAAAATTGGATAAGAACTTACGTTCCCGTTAACCTTGAAGGTTTGGAAAATTCATCAAAATGAATTCAATGCTAAACTAATAAAATATGTTTTTTTTTACATTTATATTATAGTAGATGAAGTGTAGGCCTAATCTTCAGCATTCGACTGTCAATCCATAGATCGTGCGCTCGAATCCCGACTGTATATTTTTTTCTTTTTATACACGCAATTAACACTGGATCTTCAGCAGACATTGTATGGAAACTGACATGTCTTAAGAGACATGTCTTACTAAAGCGGGCCATAGACGGACCGCCTGCAATATGCGGTCGCCGCACGGCGATCTGCAGTTTCCATACTAAATTCATATTTGCAATACACTGACCGCTCGAGCAGTTCCTGACCAAACCGCATATTGCAGTCGGTCTTGACTGCAACACGCGGTCCGTCTATGGCCCGCTTAAGTCTATCTTGGTAGGACTTTGAGGTTTCAAAAACTAACACAGATACAGTGCAAGATCACAACTTTCAGCTACACTCTCAAATACACACCCATTCACACACTCACTCATTCACTCATTGTTAATTTGTAACACTAAATTTATTATTATATTTTTATTTTTTTATTTGTTTCTAAACTGTTTTAAACCCACCATGTACCACGGAATAATTGTTTTCTAGTAACCCACAACACAGGGCCTCCCTAGTGGGGACTATCGATAAATGAATTGTATCGCAACCCTTTTGTCATAAATATAGTTTTTATTATTATTATACAACATGTGCCAGGCATAGTAGGCTGATCACCTAATAATAACAGTAAGGATATGGACTCTTAACAAAGTATCAATAGTCCCTTACTTTGGCCACCACCGGTGTAATTCCAAATCAGTTACAACAATCTGTCAAATTGCTTGAAGAATAACCTGCAATTTTTACTTCACTGGCTTAGGTCCGTGTACAAGGATCATGAATCGTCTGTTACCAAACTTAATAATAATAATATAGTTTGTTTTATTCATACAAATTCAACACAAGACATAACAGTAAATAATAAAATAAAACGTCGTATTATATGGACCGCCCACGGGTTAAAGCCTCATTCAAGGCATTCCACAATTTTCTTAACTAATTATCTTTGAACTTTATATAGCAAAGTCTTGCCTACCACGATTGCTTAAAACCATTTGAAAGATTGAGTTATAAACAATGTACATTTGTTAATTTAAGTTGAAATAAATTTAGGTTTATGATATTCAATTTAATTTAAAAAATGCGTTGTATTGACGTGCATTTGTGTGTCTTTAATATAAAAAATTAATAAATAAATCAATGGCGCTACAACCTCTTTAGGTCTTGGCCTCAGATTTCTGAATCTGTTTCATGATCATTTTTAAATCTAATAGGCAAGTAGGTGATCAGCCTCCAGTGCCTGACACATGCCGTCGACTTTTTGGGTCTAAGACATGTCGTTTTCCTCACGATGTTTTCCTTCACCGTTCGATCAAATGTTAAATGCGCACATAGAAGGAAAGTCCATTGGTGCACAGCCGAGGCTCGAACCTACGACCTTAGGTATGAGAGTCGCACGCTGAAGCCACTCGGCCAACACTGCTCGTGTGTGTCTTTAATATACCCGCAATATAGGTTATATATACTAGAAACTGTGGAAGAGAAAAAAGATTTTCTTACCATAATTTCCACAGACCCCTTAAGCCCGGTACCATTCCGATCAACAGCGTCCACCACCAGCCGAGTGTTATCTTCCAAAGTAACACGATTCCTCAAATGAACGGAACCAGATGTTGGAGATACTACGAACCTCTCATCCGAACTCATATATCGTAATAATGCATTCTCTTCTATATCTGCGTCAGTTGCCTGGAACAATCGTAAAAGTAAATAAGTTAGCGAAATGCATTGAATGCGCTGACGTCATTTTAGGGTATTCCCAAAGCACAGGAGAATCCCAGCAGCAAATCTGGCCAATGTACGTGCTGAGACTAAATAATACTGATTTTTTACTTAATATTATAACGCAACATCAGTGTTGCAACACCAATGGTATTTTGTCTAGGTGCGCATCTAACACGTGCTTTTACGGTATAGGAAATCATGCTGAAGAAACCCGGCAGAATGGTGATCACCTAATTGTCTATGAATTACTTGCGTGTTGTTCCCACAAGAATCTAAGTGCGTTCTCCTATTTCACCATGCCTAATGCTGATAGAGGGCAAATCTTAGTTTTTAATTTTATTATTATTAATTAACTATCAATTACTTAAGGTGTCATGTGGAACATGGTGTAATGGTTGCGGCTCCTTACAAACATTGTGTAAAACAAAAATCTTGGCGATTAAAAAGAGTGGCGGAGAGATTTGAGAACTGGCAGTAAATGTAAAGCTAGAAGCATTTAATATATATATTTCTTTTTTGACGTTCATAAGTGTACATTGTGTTACCTATATGAATAAATTATTTTGATTTTGAATAAAAATTATCAAAGAAACGGATGCAATCTGAGGCCAAGACCCATTGAAGGTTGTAGTGCCACCGGAAAGATTTGTATTTTTTGACTCAAAATAATTGCACCGATTAACAAATTCTATAATATAGATATTTCAAAAATCTATAAAAAAATATTCAGCCGTGTGAACAAAACATGCTGCTTGTGATTAATTAGTTGGCTATAGTCATTGGACGCCCAGGTTGTTTTTAATTAGTTAGTCGTAGTGTTTTTCCTAATAAAAGTACGGATTCCACCAGTACTCAAAATCTAGCCAAAACGTCTAAAATGTATTGGATTTTGGTTACAACGCAATTTAATTATAATCCTGTGTTTTTTTACCATATTATACGATTACCATTAAGGTGTCTCACAAAGCTAATTACGAATAAAAATGCTAAAAATACAGACAAGTAATATTTAAAAACAAACAAAATTGACGTTTTAAATGTAAAAAAATGACGGGCTGACATTTGACATTGCAATAGCATTTTGATAAATATTGTTGATTGTGGAAATTAGCGTAGAAAAAAGAACCTTGGCCCGAAAGCGAGTAATAATAATAGAGAATGTTTCAAATATTTTCTTTCGGTTCGACATTTGAAATTTTCAGGTTTTATAATATAAGACCGATTATTCAGCATAATAATAAAAAGCAAAAATGTTTCAAACATTTTCTTTCAGCTGTTCGAAATTTGAAATATTCAGGTGTTATAAGACAAATTATTCAACATAATAATAATAAAAAATCAAAAAAGTGTCAAACACTTTCGTTCGGCTGTTCGAAATTTGAAATTTTCAGCTGTTATAAGACAAATTATTCAACATAATAATAATAAAAAAGCAAAAATGTGTCAAACATTTTGTTTCAGCTGTTCGAAATTTGAAATATTCAGTTTAAAACACAATACAATACAATTTATTCAACATTAATTAATAATCCTAAAAAGAATCGGACGCTGTGTGCTAATAAGTTATAGCACTGATGTAATATTATCTAAGTGTTTTTCAAATATCTTGCCAAGACCATATGCAGTAAGAAAAACAAAATATTTTTAGACTTCAATAATTGATATGTGTTTGTTTACTCAATAAATCATGCTACAAGGATGTAGATAGTAATAACGTTAAGACGCCGCGCCATTGAGGTGAGTCACGACACAATTTTAATTTTATTACATTTTAGTATACATAATTAACTTTGAAATTTATATAAATCTACTATATAATGCAATTGATTGTTCTAAAGAACTATTCTATAGTTTCGTCAATTCGTAGTAACTTATTTGATTATGAATTCGTTATAATATAACAAGTCTATCTCTTTTCGTCATAGTATACACCCAATTTGACACAAAGAGACAAAAACTTTAAAGGATTAGTGATTAACTGCTCGAATCCAATATGTATGTTTATTATTTGGCAGAGGGATTAATTATGGCGGGTTCAGTTTGTAAAGAGTTTATGGTTCAGTGCTTAGAGAGCAAACGAATACTTTTCTTTATCTATATCTTTTAATTTATTTTTGATAGCAACACTAACTCATGATTATTTCAATGTACTTTAAACGTAAGGAAGAAATTCGGAAAAACATATTAAATTTTTTTTATTATATTGGTATCTTTACATCACTAAAATTCAAATAAGAAAAGTCCATAAGGTTTTGACTACTCTCGTAATAAGTTATCATTTTATTTCGATAGAACCTCTAATTATGATTTTATTATCTTAAGGTAATCAATTACTGTCGATCCATACGTCCGAACCTACTCATATCATTAAGCGCCCAATATATCCTCAGCAGTATTTGCAGATAATAGCAATACCAATGCACTATGCAACATTGGTTTCAAACATACTAGAATATGATGTTATTATGTCTCGGTTCTGGTACTGATTATAATGAATTTTCACATATACCTTTAAGAAATGAAGACTGGCAGTTACATTTTTTTATTGACATTCATATTACGTACTACTATTAAAACAATATTATTTGTTTTTAAATAAATTGAGCGTTTCACTTTGATTTGATTTTTTCAATATTTTATGAGTTTAAATTCAATTCCTATATAATTATTTAAATTTATTATTTAGTATACATTACCTTGAACAAGTGATAGTAAGTTTAACAGTCTAATTTGTGATATTGACCTATTCGCCTCAAGTGTGGTGTCGGCAAGGAGAGCTTTGACATCTGAGCTCCTTAGTGGAATAAATGGTGAATCATAAGTTTTTATAAGTGTATAAGTTATACTAAACTGTTAAGTGTTACTTAACCAATTTTTACTTAGTTTATTACTTTCTTTAATATATATTTATATAGTTGAAGAAAATCATTTTATTGTTACCAATCCAGTTAATATTATTAGTACTTAACTATTTGTAAAGATTTATTTAATGGCGTAAAAGAACATTGTATTTAGTAAGTAGGTTAGTAATACTTCTTTTAATCTTTTAAAAATTTAAATCTTTCTTAATAAATAAAATAAAATATTGTAAAAATCCGCAAGAAATCCTATCTTAAAGCGGTCACGCCCGAGGGCTTTTGCTCTGATTGAAAATGCTAATGAACAATTGTTCTGGTTCCGAATTTGTATAATTTATACCAAATAAGTATGGAAATGACATTACTAAGGCAGCAGTGCCTATCTAAACGTTTTTAAATAGTCCCGTGACAATTAAACATAAAATTGAAATAAGAATTCGGTTTTCCTTTTCGCTTTCTGTAAATGTTCTGTCGGGAATCAAAGTTCGTAGTCACTTATAAACTGACGAGACTCGCCGCCACTCTTTCTAATCGCCAACTGTTTTATTTACGAGTTGCTTGTAAGATGCAATCATTACGTGTTGTCCCACATGACATGGAATAAGACCTAATAAAATAGATTAAGCAAAGGTAATAATGTGTAAAGAGTAGTGTTGGCCTAGTGGCTTCAGCGTGCGACTCTCATACCTGAGGTCGTAGGTTCGATCCCCAGCTGTGCACCAATGGAGTTTTTTCTATGTGTGCATTTAACATTTGCGAACGGTGAAGGAAAACATCGTGACGAAACCCACATGTCTTAGACCCAAAAAGTCGACGGCGTGTGTCAGGCACTGGAGGCTGTCACCTATGCCTATTAGATTTAAAAATGATCATGAAACAGATTCAGAAATCTGAGGCCAAGACCTAAAGAGGTTGTAGGCCACTGATTAATTTTTATTTTAATAATGTGTAATAGAAAAATGATGTGATGTTAAGTGATAATAACAGCGTTAAGGATTTTTTTTTTTAAAGACAATTCACACCAATTGACCTAGTCCCATGCTAAGCTGGTGAAGCTTGTGTTATGGGTACTAGGCAACGGATATACATACATTTTATAGATAGATAGACATATAAAAACATATTTAAACACCCAAGACCTAAGCACAACATCGAATGCTCATCACATCGATGTTCGTCTCAGCCGGGGATCGAACCCGGGACCCATGGTTTCGCAGTCAGGGGTACTAACCACTAGACCAATGAGTCGTCAAATATTATATAGCGAGGGCTACTTGTGGTGACTGGTGGGACTTGAATCAGTTTATATACTATGTTATAATTATTTTCTGCCTTAATTCACCTCACTACGTGTTTGCATGTTGTTTACAGTAATGTAATCGCATGCTTCACCGTACCTTGTTGGAGGTGAGCGTTTGTTTTCTTATTTCATTATTCATGGTTTTTATTTAATTAAAAAACAAATTAACAAGTTATGTATGATGTTGTGATTGACATGATGTAGTTTTTGCAAGTGCTTACAAACAATATGTAAAAAAATGGCGATTTAAAGTGACGGAGAGTTTATTGCCAGTTCTTTTGGTTCGTTCTACGCCCTTTGATTTGAGAAAAAGTATGTTTAGAAGCATTATTTTTTCTGACTTTCACAAGTGTACATGAATGGATTTTGATATATTTCTGTAAGCAATTAATTATTCAACTTTTATCATGAATTCAATTAAAATTAAACGAAAATCTTATTTTCCTCAGTTAAAAACTAGACGTTTTGACAGTGGATAGTAACAGCCGCAGAAAGGATTTTTAGATACTCATCCACAAAGAGGCGAATGATGAATGAACACTTGTATAAAATCCGGAATTTTAAAAGCTAAAAGCATGAAATGTATGCAAAGAAATAAGGTCAAATTGTCGGTCAAAAGCGACTTTTTGATTGCTTTCAACAGCTACAGCTCTATTTATTGATAAAGACATATATAAAATAGGTATGTAATCATTTTCAATTTAACAAATACAGGTTACCCAAAACAGGTTGTATGGAGATACATGCTGAATCACAATTCAGTTTAGTAGGCCGTTTCATTGTTTGAATAAAGTAAAAGTTTGGAAGTTTTAATTTCTTCGTATTTCGAAAGACCTACTTTTGAACTCGAAATTCTTTGTGATATTTGTCCTTATCCCTCTGATGCCACTTTGCAAATAAATAAACATAATCTTTAAATAATCGAAACTTAAATGTATTTTCTTTCTTAAAGTAATTATGAATGAGATTTTATATACAGGTCAATATGTCTTCCATTTCCATTCAATTAATCTAACACTAGCAAAACGCGTTATTACCTAAAATCCTTTTAAGTACCAATCAATCAATCAATCAAAATACGTTTATTCAATTTAGATGCGTCTAGGGCATGCTTATGAATGTCAAAAACGTTTACAAAATTCGCGAAAGAGCAAGACTACGCCATCCGTTCGCAAAACTACCAGTAGGCCTTGTTCTGAGAAGAACGGGCAAGAAACTCAGCAAATTTTACCCTCCCTCTACATTACAATTATTCAAAGGAAAATGTCATAAACCACAACGTCATTAAAGTTACATAAGTAAAAAATAAAAATCTGTTCTGTGATTTATCACATTCACCATTACACACATATTCACAACACTATACATTTGAGTCGGATCGATTCCTCACTTTTCACACGATTCGAGTACTCAGATAGATCCTTATCAAGATCATTGGCAAATATACTAATGACCTTTTAACTAAACCTCCCATCTGTCTCTTTCCGCCACACTGTAGTCACTATTTGACACTATTTTATTCATAATAGTGAAAAAGCAAGTTCTTTTATCATCATTTCATCGCTCCATTTTATTCGCCTTAATTGATAGCTATTAAAATTGTACACAATGACCTAGAATATTTGTCTCTAGCCAATTATGATACAGTCAGAACGTGAACTATTAAAATTACTTTTATAATTAGTACTTACTTTTAACTCGGCTAATGCTCTCGGTAACACAATTTCTGCTAAATCCCCGCTTGGGTACCCAACTGTCACTGAATCGGCTTCAAATTTCGGAGCATTATCATTTATATCCCTCACTATTAGGTTCACCAAAGTCCTACTTGGGTTATAGGAGATACTATCCGTTAGAATCCATTTATTGGAACCGTAGTCTAGAATCTTGCTTGAACGCTTGCTTCTTCTATTACAATTTAGGTTCAGTTCCACTTGAATTTGAGATACGGGCATGAAGGCTATTGAGTCGTGTTCTCTGTCTATAGAACGTGTGTGTAACCCTTCTGAATCCACGTAAAGCCAATTTTGGTCCAGTGGCCATTTATTTGCAAGGCTGTATTCGCAGTTCGGATGCTTCGTACGGTCTAGGGGTACTAGATTTAAGTATGGTTCTTCTTCATCGCGTTCTAGGACGAGTAGAGGTGGCAAATTGAACGTGGTTCCAAGTTCGATGATTGTCAGCTGAACCTGTAATATAATTTATGAACATCATATTATTTATTAAAGCAGTTGTCCCACTTGTAGGTTTGAACCCTGGTTGTGCACCAAATAACTTTCTGCCTATGTGCATTTAACACTCTCACTTCTACGGTGAAGGAAAACATCGTGATGTGTGCGACGGGCACCGAAAGCTGATCACCTACCTGCCTATTAGAAAAAAACAAATGATTATGAAACAGATACAGAATTCTGAGTCCAGACCTAAAAGTTTGTAACGCCCTTGTTTTTTTTATATTTTAGTTTTTTCTTTATATTTCATCTTAAATTATTGTTATGTATTGTAATTGCCTACAAAATCCAATTAACTGTGCAGGGAAGAAAATTGTTCTGATTGAATACCTTACTTAACTACTGACTGGAAGGCCCGAAGGCAAGAAGTGACTGAGGTTTTGGGAGCCAGCCTAGCTCCTTCAAGAAGTTTTCTTAGCACTTCGCTTTGCGGAGCGAACTCACTGCTCCGATGATTTCTACTCGTTGGGAAATCATATCCACGCGTTTTTATACTATAATAAACTAATTGATAGAGGTGTGATGTCATCGTATTGATTTAAGCCGCAAATCGACTTTAGCGGAGATGGTAAGTCGCCAACTAAGGATATTCCGCTTACCGATGTAGAAGCAGAGACTTGTGATATTCTTGTTCGGGCTGTTGCTTTGAAACTGTAGACACCAAGATTAGCTGAAGCCGATAGATGTATCTCTCCATTGTTATTGATTGTAAGACGTTGCTTTAAGTGTTCTGAAAATATAAAATGTTTATTATATTCAAATTAAATTTAAATTCGTATGAGTTTATAACATAATTTAATTTTCTACTTGAATTTTTAATTGGAAATTGTTTAGCTTAATTGGAAGTATACTTATTTGCTTTGTCTGTTACAAGTATAAGGATAAAATTAAAATTTGATAATTTTATATACAATATAAATTAATTACAAAAAAAGACGAAATGACAAAACAGACACCTATTCTTACATTGAATTAGAGATTCATGAGCTATGATGTACAAGTGAGCAGGCACTAGGTATACCTAAGCTGCACCCATACGTCAATTCAATAAAGACTTCAATAGTTTAAGAGAAAAATATTTTGAGAGAATTATATGCAATTTACTTATAAAAACGGCGCGATAGGTATTGTTATCGCTAATAGAAAATGCAGAGTTCCAGCGCTGATTGACAGTACGAGTGACCTTGTCATTTGTATTTGGTACAACACAGCGTTTTATTTGGTATCTCTATTGAGAGTATCTCCAGTGCAAGGGTACTCTGCGTTAATATACGGGGGGTCCCAAGACTATGGGACATCAAGGGAGAGTACCTATAGTAGATATCGTAGATAGGATATTTTGCTATATGTATTTAGATATCTAGTACAAATGTATTACTTACTTAAATTTATTACTATATGTAATTATTGTTATTGTTAATGTAGCTATGAATCTAAAATCGTTTTAAATCTTAAACAAAAGAACATATAACGTTAAATCAAACTATGTTAATTATAAAATTATAATAAACTAAATCATAGGTGATATTTGCAACCAGATCTATTATAATAACTTATGATATATATAAACTAGGATTACTGAGAATATAGAACTCAAAATAAATTGTTAATTATAAATTTTAATTTGTATCCTATTCACATCAAATCAAATTAATTAAGAGCCAAGAGGGCTTGAACTTTTATGAACAGACAAGTTTTGCTTTCCTTTTCATTATAATTGTTTTTTCAGGAGCACTTGAGCTGTGTTGTCCAAGGTGCTCGGGAAACTCATCTCTGAGGTTCTTCGACCTTCGAACCCTCGTTCGAACCCCGGCTGTGCACAAATTGCCTATACGCATTTTCACTCGTACGGTGATGAAAAGTATCTTGAAGAAACCGGTATGTCTTAGACCCAAAAAGTCGACGGTAGCATCGAGACTGATTATGACCTTTTACGAAATAAATGCTCATCAGAAATCTGAGGCCAAGACTAAGGGCTGATATTTTTTGTTTTCTCATAATGTATACTTTATATTTAATATCATAGTATATCATATTAGGAACAAGAACATTAATATGAGATGAATAGGCAGTATTAATTTCATAATCTAAATGCGAGATCGACTACATAAATACGTGTATTTAATATAATTGTATTGTTATGAACACAATAGCAATAACTAGGATATTAATTTCATATTATATACGATATAGGCCTAATGCGTTTATACATACATACTCAACATTAGGCAAAGTAATACTCTTACTTTATTAAAGGTTAAAACATGTTTATAAATTTTTTTGAAATCTGATTAGAATAAGTAAAGTAAGTAACTAAGCTAACTTAACTAAGGTATTTTAAGCACGGTATTTATGTCTGAGCCTCTGATTTCTATATCTGTTTCATGATCATGTGTCAATTCAGCCTCATGCGCCCTACACACGCCATTGTCCTAAGGGGTCTAAGGCAAGCCCAGTTTCCTCACGATTTCCTTCACCGTTTGAGCGCATCTTAAATGCGTATATAGATAGAAAAACGGAACACCCGGTGATCGAACCTACGACCTCAGGGATGAGAGTCGCACGCTGAAGCCACTAGGCTAACACTGTTCTTGCGGTATAGCGAATTTGTTAAGGGACCTAGTTATATAATTCTAAATCTATGGATATTTTAAAGGAACGTCTTAGTTGAGGCATTATTTATACTGTAACCACTGCGTAGTTATTTATTTCTATAGTCTGTAATTCGCGCGAAGTTGATAATAAAATTGCGTAATAAAAGATTCCAATGGGACATTAACAATTGAAGGAAACGTAATAAAATTATTCAAAAATGCCTGTCCACTACCTTACGAGTCACAGTGATATCATTAAATTTATCTAGATTCAATAAATCTTTTCATCTTTTGTAATTGACATGCATTATGTATGCGAGGTGTGTCATTATGATAAACTGTGAACCGCGGTTTTGTTCGGGTGTTCGTTTTTTGTTCGAAAAGTGAACGTAAGATTTCTTTAGTACTGCGTGCGTTTGAGTACTAAATTTATAAGTAGGCGAGATGTGTGTTAGGTAATATTTATTTTCTATTCATTTATTTCGTAATCCTACAGACAATAAATTATAAAAATAATTAATAAATGATATTTTATTAATTATTTTTTCTTTAGATTTTACCATATTTTATTTTTAGTTTTTCTTTTTTTGTTAATTATTTTTGCATTTCTTGTACTCTACCCTCTGTAGGTGTTTCTTTTTCATTGTTCCACATTAGGGTTGCCTGGAAGAAATCTTTTGTAACCTGCTTTTTTATTTTTGTTATGTGTATGTTTTTGAATAAGGTAATAAAGTATAAATAAATAAATATTTATATATAACAAATAACTATTATACAAAAGACATAGCCAAAGATGGAATATATAATATATAGAAAAAGGTTCAGACATTTACGAAAGGAAGGAATCAATAAAAAATATGAACTACATTTAACTAAGTAATACCTAATTCTGCTGTGTTGTATGATGGTGTGAAATTGACGGTATGTATGTGGGGTGAGCTCATGATGCAGGTTATTTAGCGCTGTAGATATTCTTGTTACTCCTTTTAAGTATATTAAGCGATAGCTTAAACAAGTCAATGCCTAAATAGTGGTCGTTGTATTAAACTGTGAATTAGTGATATGGTTTTGTTTCAATCGAGTGACATTTTATTTTGTAATAAAATATTTCTGTATGTTCAAGTCGTTGGATTTTACTACGTGCGGACATGAAGAATGTTTGAATTCCCGTACTAAAGAGGCATGAGCTGCCGATTAAAGAGAGAGAGAGAGAGTACAGTACAAGGATTTCATTAATAATTTCCTATTTGACGTAAGGCTTTGTGTGTCTACCAATCTAAATAAGTTATGTATATTTGATATTTTTTATATCATACCTGAACATAATATACTAATTGCTTCACTGGAAATCAAACGCATATACAACATAATACAACGTAATGATAGACATGTAAAATACTATTGACTATATTTAGATGTTATAAGCGTCACAGACGATTTTATATTTGCATTTGACATAAAAATAAATTAATTTTAATGATTAAGCTCGTTTTTTGTTTATGCGACGCAAAATGTAAGTGAGTAAGTAAGTAAGTCTCTTGGATACTTATGTAGAATTAATTAAGAAAGAAACCTATGGTACTTCATATACAGAGTCGCCCGTGACGTGAAGTGGAGAAAGAGTGGTACGTGATCTGTCGACGAATCGACTACTGAGAACTAAGTCTCGACTGAGAATCTTACCCTATCATTTCCTCTAGTATAAAGTTGTATATTGGGCGCTATTTGGCTTAAGTTATCTAATATTTAAAATTAAAAACTCATTATGTACGAGTACGTATGTACTTGTACACAAGCCTTATTTACTGTACTTTAAATTTGAAATAAAGTACGCTAGCCTCAAGTGGCTGACTGGCAACGTGCTATCGGTGAATGTGAAGTCTCTATAATAATAATAAAATAAAATAAGAACAATTTTTACACTTACAGCGCAGGCCAAGTGGCTCTTTATTGGTATTATTTTGTAATTATTTAGTTGAATTTATTTATATGAAAGTTATGCCTAAAATTCTAGGATCTTTCAAATCACATGATTTTCTATTGTGTATAAGGAAACAAAAGAATATCTTTTATTTTTATATTAATTTCTCCTCAGCAGTTGCGAGTAATAAACTATTGTTTAGTGTTTTAATTTTAAACCGTACTATAATAGTGGCATAAGTAAGCTATTGCTAAAAGGACATCATCCTTCACTAAACGGCCAAGTGTTATTACTCTCTTAAAATGAATGACCTCTGGGTTAATAAAAGTCTTAGACCAAGCTTGATTTCAAGATAAAAAAGATTTCAAGATATCACTAAGAAATCATAATATTAAATAACCATGTACGTCGAGAGGCGGGTAGAATTTATATTACTTGTAATGTGCGGATTCCTACCCGTTTTGTGTAGGTTTACAAGATAAATGTTTCTGCTTGAAACATTTCGTTTTAAAGTAACATGAAGTGTTTCACAGTAAATGTAAAATATATTTGTGTTTTTTCTGTAAGTATTTAGTTTTTAATTATTTTAATTGACATTTTTTATTTCATCATCTGATTTGGATTTTATTATATTATTATTGGTGGAATATATTTTAAATATATTATAACGCAAACAAATGTCAGTTTGACTTTGACGCATTTACCTTAACGAATGGCCTGTAACACCATAGATTAATTTGAATGCGTAATCGCATCATTTCTTCTTTATAACTGAGCTGATCTCTCAAAGCTATCAAGGAAACCACTTAATGGTAATCGCTGTTTTGATGTCACCACTGGGTGTTTCTTTTTGTTGTTAACCCAATAAATGCAATAGTGAACCAGAAATAATTAATTTTGGGAAGGCTGAATGTGAACATACACTGTAATCATTGATATACTTCATAATGTGACCAACAAAAAATATATTATCTGACATATTTTTTCACTCCCTCTTGATCACTTTGATCGGCTGTATCGCCATCTTTAAAATAAACTTTTTATGAAGATAGAGTAGTAAGTAAGTAATTAATTGAGAAGATTATTCAATGTTGTCATTTATTATATCACGTAGTAATGCAAAATTCTGTCAAGTTTTTGAACTATATCTGAGAAAATAGAAGGTATATGTCAATTTCAGACGTACCGTGTTTACTACATCCGGATGAGGTACACACTCTGTACTGGAATAAATTGGTTATCTGTAAATCTGTCGGAGAGATCCTTTTGCGAAATTTCAAACGTATTTATGTACACAATTTCAGAAAATCTCTGTGCAACCAAAATGTTGCAATTATTTTGATGTAAAGTAACATACAGATTGTCATGCATGAATGGTATACGTTTCTGTCATAATAACTGATGTTTGAGAATCATGAAGTAAGCAAATCATTCGATTATCTGAGCTAAATTAATAAAATATACAAAAAAATAACAAGTATATAATGTTTGATGACAGTAATGACCTAACCTAAGGATACAATTCAGAAACAAGACTTATGACATTTTAAATTCCAATACATTTTTGTCAGATTAAGCCATTCAAGCATATTGAACAAAACAAGTGCGTGTAAAGCACGGCTTATTTGCTTAAAAAGGAAAGCATTTTTGGCTTTTAAAATGATTTGTTCACAATTTATAAGTTTGGCTTAATATATACTTAAAAGATCTGCATTATAAATATATATAACAGACAGGTGACGTTGGCGAGGATTTTTTGCTTTTACGTACTAGTAATTGTATAAATCCTACAACCCAAAAATCTCAAAGAGCAGATCGAAATTGAAAGTTCAGGAAATGAAAAACCCATCTGATTTTATAGTATCGAATTTAAATATGTTTATTTACAGCCCAAAATTGTGATATTAAATCTCTTAGCGAGATATGAGATATATTCAAGAATTGGTACGCTCTTTTCTTGAAGGACCCTAAGTCGAATTGGTTCGGAAATACTTCAGTGGGCAGCTGGTTTCACATAGTAGTTATACTTTTAAAGTGTATTAGTGTAATGTCGTAATACAGACAGAAAAATTAAACCAATTTATCACGTGATAATGCTAGTAAATATATATTATTCTAAATCACATATTATGCGCCCTCAAAAGTCAAAAAGTCAAAAGTCAAAACTCATTTATTCATATAGGTAACACAATGTACACTTATGAACGTCAAAAAAGAAATATACATTAAATGTTTCTAATTCTACATTTACTGCCAGTTCTCAAATCAAGGGCGTAGAACGGAAGAGAAGAACTGGCAATAAACTCTCCGCCACTCTTTTTAATCGCCAAGTTTTTTGTTTTACAGAACGTTTGTAAGGAGCTGCAACCATGTTCCACGTGACATCTTGAGTAATAATTAATAATAAATAAATTTAATTTTGACTACTATTAAATTTCGTTATCTATTTGATTTTACGTATTATTCCTCCTAAGGGAACATTAGATTAGGCCATGAATTTAGTCAACTACGAGTCCTCTAGAAATAGTTATCCTACTCGCTTGGCATTCCTCATACATCCAACTGAATTACAAATTTAATCTTCCTACGACAGTACATGTATAAATTTATGCAAATATACCGCAGTATTATCAAATATATACATTTGTATGCAATGTGATGACACATATGTATCCGGTACCAGTTAACCTTTAACCTGACTTGTATTAGACAAAGTCATTTTTATCTGTCTGGGTGGTACGCGGTAATATTGTCTATGGATTAATCGTTTATTTACCTAAAAATATAATTTGGTTTATATTAAAAGATATATATAAAACCTATTTACTCATTATCACGAATAAGCTTACGTGTTTATGTCTATAAGTTACTGTGAGACTCTGTGTATTAGTAATCTTTAAAAAACGTCGGGTTTCTTCGTACACTTATAATTCGAGAACGGCTGGACCGATTTTAATATAATTTATCCAGCTGTTTTAATGATTTAATTGGACAAATGTCATGGCTTTCGATTTGTTGTATTTTCTCATTCCCCAATGTCAGAATACTATTAAAACATGACGAAACAGTAAAATTAAAAATTCCTAATACATGTTCATGAGTAACTGTCAAACAATTGATGTTCATCCCGTCGAAATGGTAAGTGGTTTTGTCAAATCCGCCATTTTGTTTTTATTTAAAATTTTGAAATTTTATTTGAAATCTTCGCATTCGTAATCAGCGAATTCGAAAACCCCTGAGTACTGACTTTCAGCCAAATTTATAACGTTTTCGAATTTTGGCCAGCTTATCGGGATTTGGCGCCACTGTGTAGCGGTTACAGAGAGAGACAGTCTGTCTCCTCTCCACGGAGCACCAAATATTCAAGCTGCTAATAAAGTGACTAGTGAAAAGTAAATACATACCATTTTCTATCTCCAAAGAGTAGATCACAGTCTCCCCATTATCGGCGGTTGCGGATACTCGACCCACCTCTCCCGTGGAACCTTCGTTGGCTTCTAGTATGTATGATGAAGAGCTGAATGATAGAGAAGGTGGCTCCACTGGAGTATCTAAAAATCAGAGTAAATAGTGACAACTTCTAAAAAAAATCTTTTAATTGAAAATAATACGTACAATAACAATTTTTGAGCTTTTTAAACAAACCTTCAAATACAAAACTGCGATTAATTATAAAACTGATTAAATTACCCATTTCATTTACATATTAAAAACGGATTTTATTACTGAGACTATTGTGTTCGTTATTTCTGTGATTCTTTATTTAATTCAGGCCGATTTGAATATTAATGATTTATATGCTATTGTACAGTTTCCGCCTTGAGTCGTTTCCGATAGACTATTTATAATTCTATCGAAAATATATGAATTAAATTTTCTTTTATTTTATATAATAATACAATATAAAGGGACATTATATTTGAAAACCACCGTGATTCGTATTAATGTAACAATAGCAGTCTTGTCAGGGGCGCGACTGCATATAAAAATAGTTCTTCAACTTGTTTTTTATGTTGGTTAACATTAAGCTGGAGCAGTGTTGGCCTGGTGGCTTCAGCGTGGGACTCTTATCCCTGAGATCGTAGGTTCGATCCCCGGCTGTGCACCAATGGACTTTCCTTCTATGTGCGCATTTAACATTCGCTCGAACGGTGAAGGAAAACATCGTGAGGAAAACAGAGAGAGTTAGACCCAAAAAGTCGACGGAGTGCAGCACATTAGGCTGATCACCTGCTTGCCTATTAACAAATGATCATGAAACAGATACAGAACAGACCTAGGGCCTCAGATTTCTGTTCTGTTCTGAAAAGGCGCCACTGATTTTTTTACATTAATCTATTTAATAACTGCACGGGTAGAACATTTATTTGCCGCGGTAGTAAATACTTTTAAGTCGTTAGACGTTGTTTGCTCTCGATATATTTTTTATTAGGTACTTGAGATATAGGAATTATATTTACCCGATTCATATATATCTAGAAGGAGTACAGCACTTGCTTCATCAGCTACCAGATTCAAGGCGACATACGAAAGAATTGATGGTACGCTCGTAGCAGAAAGCGTTACAGTGACGACTCCATTAGTGATAGTTGCTCTGAATAGTTGGCTATATTCTGAAAACAGAAACATTCATGATTTAGAATTCTCGTAACTACTCTTTAGTAGAGACATAATTGTATCAAAGAAATGTTGGTAATGGTCTCATAGTTAAGTCACTGAAAGTAAAGAGATTTTTTTTTTCTTTTTCTTACATCGTGTTGCGTCAACTTCAAACGACAAACTTCGTAAAATTATATACCTAAACATTCCTCCTGAAATAGTGTTGAAAACCGCAATCAATTGTTTCGTAGTTTTGAGATGATCGCGACAAGGACGCGGCGGAGGATTATATAATATAAAAGTTAGTCTTTATAGTATATGCTGTCACTGATTTTTCGTAGACATTATCAAGCTCTACAAGTTTTCTTTTACACAAACATATATACGTACGTATATCTCTCATTGTTTAGGCAGTGTTCGTAAAACACATTTTCGTTCGACACTTTTTTCTCAGACTTACTTTGCAAATCCGACTACTACCAAAAAGACTTTAAATTGTTTGAGTTAATTTATAGCCAAACAAAACGGGGTCTTTCTATCGGTAAAATAAAATTCCGAAAGAAAATCGATTCAGTAGATCCAGAGATTTCAACCTCACAAACTTTACCACTTTATAATATAAGTGTATCAATTATTTAAATGTAAATACTTTTAAATATGCCTTATAAAAGATTAGTAATAAGTATACAAAGATAAAATTGTCAATGGCTCTCAAACAGAATAATTTCTTTTGTTTTTGATAATCTATTTATTAAGATTAGTCTATATAACAGCACGCCTCGAAAAATAATGGCTAATTTATTAAAAAAGTAAAGTAAGACCTCTTAAAGGAAATTCTTCTCTTAGCTTAAAAAATATTATTTTGGATTGTTTAAGTACTCAACGATTGAAAGCGTAAACGTTGCTGTACCGTCAGTTGACGCATCTGACGCTAAGAAACTATTGTCTCAACAGCAATCGAACTGAGCATCACCAGGTTAATCTACCAATATAACACATAGATGCAATATCTTTATTGAATCATGAAATGGCTTTTAACATAATTTTGTTTTAAGAATTCTTAGAATTAATATTTTAGTGAAAATAACATTGGTGTTTGGCACCTGGTAGCGACTGAAATAAAATGATACGCGAGCTCCAAAGTTTTCGTATTGGAAAAACTTATATATTAAGTAACTAACTTACCCCCTGAAACTTCAATATTTCCGCTAAATTCCACAACAGTTATCGCTTCATGAACCACAGCATTATTTTCCACGCGTCCTAAATACAAAACTTTGTCGAATTTCACATTTGTTGTCGGATCTGAAAACACAGTTGGAATATGAGAATGTAATATTGTTATTTCATCTTAATACTTCTACTGAGGGATAAGACGTAAACCACAATCTTTATTTAATTCATATTATTGTTTCAGATACCATTCAATGAATAACTGAATTCTCTTTGTCTGGGTTATTTATCGATAGATAAGATTAGAATACATATGTTTTGATAACGTTAAACAAAAATATGCTAATATTTCTATAACATTATGAATAATGCCTGACTTGATAACGTAACGTTTATACAATTTATTGATCATGTTAGGCATCTAATAGATGTTTCAAAAAGACTAATATTTATTTGAATAAGATCAGCAGTTAAAGGGTTATTAGATAATCTTATTTCATTTCAACCTTGGAACAGATTTGATATTTTTACCTTACTTTTATCTAGTTCCGAATCAAGGTGTCTCAAGTAGTTTTTACTCAAGTACGCACCGAGTTATGATTAGATAAATGAAATATTATTATTTTGTTTTGTTAATATAATATAGTCTTCCTATTCGATATAGATATACAGAGAATTTAAATGGATGGTTAATTTTATGTTGTTTTCTAGGTTCTTCTAATTTTCGGCCGTAGGGTAGGCCGTAGGGAACTTGAATTCACTTCTGACTCATTGCAAATTTTTATCTTAAAAGCATAAATATATTTACCGTTTGTTACGACTATTATAATGACCGATCGGGTAAGAACCACTTCAGAGCCCACTCTTTGTGCGTATACAACGAATACGAGTTGATTGTTATTGTTTATTACACTTTCAGGTATGGAGGAACTTAGTTCTAACTCAGCGGAGTTTCCAGATTGCCGCAGTCGAAACCAAGTTGAGTGGTCTAAAATCAAATAATTATAGGTTAAAATAAGTACATGGGCGTCAAAAGTGTACATACCTTAATAAATGGTATTTTCATTTTTTTTATTTGCTATATTTAGCTAGGAAAAAGGCAATGAAAGAAAACGGTCTGATTTATTATATTATTTACGGTATGATTGGGGATATTAGCGGCTTTATTGATTAGATAAGTAAAAATAATAAAAATTGGGAAAAGACTCCATATTCCTGAGAAGGTACCAGTTACAATCTGTTCACTTAAATTTTTCTTTCATTATACAAATATTGTAAACGGAATTAAGATGAAGTAGGTCGCTAATACATGAAATCAGCTTCCCCAACTAGTAGGTATTCAATACTTTCTAATTCATGATACATACCTCCCTCTAATTTAAATTGGATTGTTTCATCGAAGCCTGATTCCATTCGAATTATGAAGTCAAAGCTGAATTCTGAAGCGTCTGCATAAGATCCCGAGTAATATGGTTTATCAAAACTTATATTTTCCACTGATTCTTCATTTCGAACGATTTTTAAAACTATCGCAGCACGCGCGCTTGTATATTCCGATGTTGCTTGGATGTCAATTGTTATAAGTCTATTAATAGGAATATTTTCTTCTGGTATTGGGCGTAGAAGAGTCAAGGTTATTACATTTCGCTCATTCGGTGTACTGAAATAGCCACTGAGTTCTGAAAATATTGGATAAATTTGAAATTATTAATTCTTTTAGCGGACTAAAGCTTTTTACTAACACTTAACAAACTGTAAACAATATTACGATACTTCTTCAGATAGAGTTAATGATTACTTAAGCTTAAATCAAAATCAGCCATTCACTAATCGGACATTTAGTATCGTCACTGAGTTGCATTATTCCTTTATTCCGGAGGGCTCATACAGAAATTGGCCATTTTAGGTAATTATTAGCCTACCTCCTATTAAACTAAATATGACTTCGTCGTTGTAGCCTTCGGCTAAAACTATTGGGTCCAAGAATATATCACTCTGGTTTATGGTACCAACGTATGCCTGTCGGTCGAACTTCATGATAGGAGTAGATCCATCACCAACTTCTGAAAAAAATTGAAAATTTTGTTCTATTTTCTGTACCAATAAATTGGTAGATAGTTCAGCCTTTAATCAAGAAGAAAATTTAAATTATATTATTAAACATTGGTCAAATGCCCAATCCAGGATTATTTTATAAACAAGACGTGACATCAAAGTAAAATCGCAAAGAAGTGTTAGTAATAAGTACCTTTAATGGTAATGATAATAGTTGATCTTGCGGATGCTGTATCGCTAGCTCTATTGGCATGGACCTCAAAAATTAACTGTGAATTACTACTAACCACGTCAGATGGTACTTGCCGAGATAATGCCAATTTAGCAGAACTTCCTGTTGGAACTAATTCAAACCATGTAGACTGAACTGAAATAAGTATTAGTCACTTAGGGTAAAACCATAATACGTAATTGTAGATTGGTCTAAGATAAATAATTCAATGGCTTTTAAACGCCATTGAAACCAGCCTCATCTATGGCAATGAGTTTACTTCAAAGAAAAATAAATTAAACATTTAAAAATCACAATAATAATAAGCTATTTTTTGTATACCTCCATATAAAGAATATGTAACAGTTTCGTCGTATCCTTCAGCAAGTGATATCGTGTCTTCAAACGTAAATACATTTTCTGATGTATACCTCCCAACATAGTATACACGATCAAATTGAATTCCATTAATAACCGGAGGCTCATTATCTTTTATTATTCTAAGAATTGTTGTCGTTCTCGCTGTCATAATATCATTTTTCGAAACTCGTATCTCAAATGTAATAAAATCATTATTGAGTAGATCTTCAGAAACCTCCCGCTGAAGAACAATTTCGAATACTGGCCGTTGAGGTGTTATAGAAAAGTAGTTTGCGTAATCTAAAAATAAATAAATGGAAGGTGTTAATGGTTGGTGCTCGTTACTTCCACATTTTACATACGTGATTCATACTTACTACCATGCAAAGTAACAGAATATGTATCGTCATAGTTGCCGATTAGAGTTATAGCATCCAAAGTTACACCACTTTTATTTAAAGATCCGACATAGTATGCTCGGTCAAAGCGTAAATTCTCGGAGGATTCTGGCAAAATGTATAAAAATAGTTAACATGTGACTAATATAAATGTAAACACAGTCACTCTCAGATGTTACTACTTCCTAGTCTTAAATTAAACACTTATTTATTAGATATGTGGATATATTCTAAACCTATATTTGTATAGTACATACCCTGTATGATTTCTATAAATATAGCAGCTTCTGCAGAAAGGGCTCCAGGCTTTTTTGCCAAAACAGAAAACACAATTTGATTGTTGCTTTCTACTACGTGGTCGGGTAATGTATTTGCTGAGTTTTCGTATAATCTTACTGAATTTCCATCTTGAGTTATGTAGAACCATTGTGATGATTCTGAAAGCAAAATGTTTATAAAGATATTTGTAACTAAGCGAAAACATTAATCATATCTAATTTATTCAAAATTAACTGATACTATATGCAGACTGTCATATTGAGGTACTATTAATATTCAGAATTTTAAATAACTTTTGAACACTTTAAAGAAAATTACATGTTAAAAATACATACCTCCGTCTAAGTTAAACTCTACAGTATCATCAAAACCCCCCGAAAGCGAAATGATGTCGGTAAAACTCAACCCATTAGTAGAATATTGGCCGGTATAGTAGGCACGGTAAAAACGGATTGGTTTGATGGTTGGTGTGTCGTCAATTTCTTTTATTATCTTTAAAACTACTGTTGCTTGAGCAATAGTAGTATCTCGTGTTGCTCTTATTTCTAAAGTTATTATATTATTATCTGGAAGCCCTTCTTCTGGCAAATCTTGCTGAAGGATTATTCCTAGTCCATCGCCTTGTGTAGATGTACTAAAATAGTTGGCCAAATCTAAAATTATTATAATGTTACTATTCTTAATACAATAAGACTTTCATTAATGTAATTTTTCAAATCAACTTACCACCATGTAAGGTAACGGTGTATGGTTCATCAAGATTGCCCCTTAAGTTAATTGTATCCAAAGTGATTTTGTTTTTATCTAAAGATCCTACATAATATACCCTTTCAAACGATAGCGAGCTGTCTTTATCTTCTGTAAAACGTAATTTTTAATTTAATTGTATCGCACTATTACAGATGAAATAAATAAACTTAAGTGGAAATTAGCGGGGCACATGGAACAAGGAACAGAAAAGTGGAGCATCAAAGTATTAAACTGGAGCCCAAGGTACAATAACCGCAAAAAAAGATAGTTGAGAAGGTGCATGGACCAGATTAAGAAACACCAGGTGGTATATGGCAGAGAGTGGCACAGTGCAGACAGAAATGGCATTTGCCAAAAAAGGGCACACATATATCTAGGATTAATGAAATGGTAGAAATATAAATGTATTTAAATTTAGGGTATCTGAAATAAATGGCTTTTATTATTATTATTACTGATGATAATAAGCAATTTGATTACTATTAGATAAAACTATGATTAAACTTTGCAGTATTTTGATTAATATTACCTGCATTAAGTTCAACTACAATAACAGTTCTTCCTGCTGTCGCCTCTGGTTTTTCCGCAATAATTGTTAACACAATTTGTTTATTGTTTACTATAAAATCATTCGGTATAGAATTTATTGTATTTGCGTGTAATATAACTGAATCTTCACTTTCAGTAATATAAAACCATTGCGAATGTTCTGCAATAAACATACAAATAAAAGTTACCTTAAATGTAATTTTATGGTTGAACAAGGTCCAGACACTGATATATATTATATACGTATAATAATATATGTATCAACACACAAAAATTGTTTTGCCCTCAAAGCCACCTTGTCTGTAAATCATAAGGCACGCAATAGTAAAAATTATGAATGATATTTTATTACAAAAGTATTTTCAAATAAAATTGGTTTTATTTTATGTGGTATTTATAAAAACTTACCGCCTTGTAAATAAAAGGTAACAGTAACATCAAACCCAGATGTTAATTTAATAATATTGTTAAATTGTAATCCAACATTTTCTGTGTAAATTGCCATATAATAAGGGTTTTCGAAAACAGGTGGTATTATTTCCTTCTTAACTATACTTATAATAACGGACGTTGTAACAGGAATAGCATTAACTCTTTCTGCTCGTACGTTTAATATTATATTGTCTTCGTTTCCTAAATTTTGATGTAATTCTTCACTTGCCGAAATAGATATAACATTTTCACTCGTAGAGTATGTGAAATAATTGTAATATTCTGAAAAACGAAAATTCTTTTTATTTTGATTCTCCGGTAGGTACTACAAAATCTAGTTTTAGTGAAATGGAGATAGTTTCTACGTGATCCTTAAGGAACCAGCTGCCCACTGAAGTATTCCCGAACTAATTGGGTCCTTCAAGAAAACAGGAATTACCTCGTCATGAATTTTAATTTTGCTATTTTTCGCCAACAGAGAATTTAATAATTTGTTTAAACAATGAAACAATGGAGTGCACAAAAACATTTTGGGTAAACATTGCTATTTATAGTTTAAAAACAATATCCCACATCGATCATATTTATAATCTCTAATCCGAGGTGACATCCCCCAGGCGCTTCACTATTAATGAGAACCTATAGTTATAATTTTAATAAATGAGTAATACCTCCACTTAAGATAAAACGCACTTGGTTCGTAAAACCACTTTCTAGTATAACATCTTCTATAGATACCGCTTTGTTTTCCAACTTTCCAATGTATGTGTGCTTAGAAAATTCCATAACAGCAAGTTCGGTTAGTTCTGCAATTAAAAACATAAAAACAGCAGAATAATTTTGAAGTTATACTTCTTTTGGCGCATTTGGGAAAAATGATGAGAGTATTTTTTTACGATGCGCACGCACACCGTCACAAAAACTGACACCCGTCCCACTGAAGTTAGGATAGTCAAAATTTTAAAATAAAAAAGTCAATTTCTTTTATTATGTAGAAACATTTTTTTGTGATATTTAAATAAACTTTAATTAACTAGATAATGCGTTACAATAAAACTTTCAATGTATTAAATACCTTTTTCCTATTGTTATTGCCGTTTTTTTCTACAAACGTAGAATAAGGCGAAAGATAAAATTTATAAAAAGATTTTTATCTTGTTACCAAAGAAGTATAACTTCTAATGCGTGTACATATACAAGTACACACACATGTTTTTTTTAATCAAAATTAATACAATAATTTGGGTTTCACGTTTATAGGTTAAAATAAGTACATGGGCGTCAAAAGTGTACATACCTTAATGAATTAATTTCCCATGATGTTATAACGACTGTTTTGCAGTGAAATTACCATAAACTAAAATGCTTACGATATCGTTTATCCAGATGATGTTTAACCCTTGACCCCAGAATATCTACGCTTATTTTTTTTAATTGGTAAAAATACTTTCACAAATTTGCAAGAACCAGAATGGCACGCTATCTACTAGGTTAATATTGTACGTCACCAAGGTGCATACAAATCGTTAAGTTAAGTAACCAAGCGTAAAAGTAGAAGGATTTTGAAACAAAACATGTTTATAGTTCACTCACCATTCGGAAACCTTATGACAAGAGCGGCGTTACCGCCAACAGTGTTCGGTTTTGTAGCAACAATGTATAAAGTAAAAATCTTGGCTGAAAATATCAAGTCCTCAGGAATAGCGGACCTTAACGATACTATAACATTGTCATCGTCGTTTTCTATTCTGAAATAGTCGGCGTGCTCTGAAAATAATTAAAAAGTGTATGAAAAACAAGTAGACAGTGAAGATGTTGTGCTGATAGAATTATTATAAAATAATTTATTTTTTCTTTAAATTTATTAACTCAAAGTTTATGCATATAATTATTATATGTCAGTTTTCATGCGAATGCATATAACTTTAATATTATTATTTTCTATTTAGTATTATTATTATTCTTTTTATTATTTTTCTTTGCTACTGAGGCGCAAACTAGCTGCTCTGGTCTCTGGCAGAATGACCAGCGCTCTGGAACTTTTTGCTCCTCAGCATAATGCTGATCCAGGGCCAATTACAACCACAGTACACACACATTGCACACTAGAAGCGAACCGATGGCAAAAGGGAATTTTTAATTTTTATATTTTATTGTTTTTGATATGTCTTATGTTATCTTTTCTTTAAGTATTGTTATTTTGTGTGTTTATGTGTTTTCGTTTGTAATAAATGTTATGTCTATGTCTAACTTTAATCACGCATATAGCGTGTTTAACATATATTTTTCCTCGCAAAGAAGTCTATAACTTTCCTTATTCAGTATTAGATGACGTCTTCGTATTATAAAAGTCCAAATACCCTCTTACCTCCAAAAATGTTAAAGTCCACTGTCCCATCATACCCTTGAGTTAAACTTATTTCTTCAATAGTAACATGTGTAGTATTTACGTATTTGCCCTCATATATTTTTTTTGCGAAAACTGGTGTAGTTAAATCATTTTTAATTATTTCAAAAATGAGGGTAGATGCCGCTGTATTGGTATAGTCACCAGTTGCAGTAATTTCCAAAGTTATAATATTGTTTGAGGTTACAATTTCTTGAGGTAATTGTGTTCTCAAAGATATAAGTAATTGGTTTCCATTGCTTCTATGATTAAAAAGGTTGGCATAATCTAAAATTCATTAAGTGATTTAATTATATTTGCAAGGATTAGGACAACTCTGGAAAATCAATTCATAAAATTCCCATGACAATATTATGGTTACGTCTTACAATTGCATATGGCAATTAAATTGATGCCGTCTCGCTGACTCTGTTATGATTATATTTCACAATTGCATAGATTCAGGGTAAAAGCATAGATCGCATTAGTTAAACAAAGTTTCTAATAAATAGTGTGTGTTAAAATCGACAATTCCTGAGTTTACATAATTATGAAGAAACGTAGAATTTTTACGTAACAGCTCAGTAAAATATTGGTATTTAATCGTGACCAAATATTTACTAAAAAATCTTAGTGAAACATGCTTTTATATCCCTTACAGATGTAACCAGCTTATCCACGAGTCTATAAGTAATTTTTTAAGCTATAGCATAGATTTTATCGAGGGCTTTGAGCGCGGCGACCGAATTAAGAAAAAACCTAACACGCGATGCGGCAAATATGCGTTAGAGTGAGACAGAACGCATACTGCACATTCCCATCTCTAAAGGCCGATTTACATTATCTTAGTGTTTAGGAGAGTGCTTTAGTACAACTTGAAAGGCAAGTTCTTTAGTGCTTTAGTGCGTTGCGAGTGAACGTTTACATTTCTTCCAGTAGAGTATAATTACAGCGCCACAATGAACGCGCAACGACGTCGGCAAATACGCTCTATTCTACGCAAAATACCAACTGTAGTTATGGAACAAATAGAAGACGAGATTTTATTCGAAATAAATAAACTAAATATAAATAATAAACAAAATAGCTTCTTTTAAGGCAGTGTATGCCGAATGCCTAGCCGGTTTGTTTTTGTATAAATTGTTTTTAACGTTCCACAAACATTCGTGAACAACATATTCAGACACAAATTTGATAGTTGTATCTTCCGACCATTTAGCCATCTTTAAAAATCAAAAAACACGCACGCGTTTCACGGCACTTATGCACTCTCCTAAAGATTTGACTAAAGTACGTGTTTACACATAACGAGGGAAGATCTCGGGGGGTGCGCGGGCGCGAGAGGGGTATCACTTGAAACAAAAATAAAAAGCGATTCTATTTTGATTCAACTTGAAAGTCAAGTAGAACCGTACTAAAGCAAGTAGCGTTTACATGTTTCAACTAAAGTACTATCCTAAAGCACTCTCCTAAGCACTAAGATAATGTAAATCGGCCTTTAACGAGATCGGTGATGTAGCGTGAGCGCGGCCGGTGCAGCCGGTACGCGTTAGAGTGAGACACACTAAATAGGCGTTTTAGTCTGAGTCTGGTAGAGTGGTAGATTGAAATAATATCAAAGAAAAAAACTTGAATTATCAAAGAAAAACAAATACTGCATAAATAAAAACTAAATAAATAATTATAACTGCATAAGTTGATAAAAAATGCTATGCAATAGCTTTACCGCGGCAGTTCCCGAGTGCAACACGTTTTTTATTAATAATAAATCGAAATTATACTGACCTCCTCGAATCCCAAAAACAACATCTTCATTAAAGCCTTGATTTAAAAATATATCCTGATACACTAAATTAATACCATCTATTACACCTTTATAAGAAAGCAATTCAAAACTCAACTCTCTAGCTGAAAATTAGAACACAGAACGAAACCTTAATTAATGTTAAGTGATATAAAACATTTCATTGCAATACAGTCGTTATAAAAAATATATAAATAACATATAGGAAAATAATTTATTCTTACCTGTTAATTATAATATTAGTAAGATTTATTAAGTGTGGTTTACGTCTTATACGGGGAAAAAGATCACTTAATATTATATTGTCCATACTTACTTTTACGCTTTTAAAAATGCTATTATAAATAAAAACTCTACTAAAAATACCAGTATTTTCTAAATTAAATGCTACACGTTTTAATAAAATGCGAATACAAATGATAGCTTGCATTAATTAATTAATGTATCTTATGTAAATAAACTTAGTCATTACAACATCAGTTATACTACTGTAGTGATTTAAAAAAGCCAAATATAATATTAATTTTGACTTTGCTTAAAATAAACGTTCTCCCGAAATTATCAATCTTATGACTGAGTGCCACTTTCGTAAATATAAAAATACCTTGAATCGCGTCTTAACGTACACGCGACACTTTCATAAACTTGGTTTAAAAGTAGCAAAACTACGATTTAGGAACTTCTGTTAAGTCCCGAGAAGATCTTACCACTAGGTAGTTGTATTATAATGGTAGCTGCAGCTCCACTTGTGTGTTCTCTCTCAGCTCGAACTATTAGGTATATTTGTTGTTCTCGTAAAGTTTCAGTAGGTATTTCTGTTTTCACCCTGAACGTAATTCTATTATCATTTGGAGTCATTTCGAAGTATTCTGAGTGCTCTGTAAAGGGAAAACCATATAATAATAATAATAATTCCTTTTTGAAAAATAATTAAGATTTATTTGCCAGTTAATAAATGATTAAGAATTGGTTCCTAATGAATTAACAATATTAAGAATGGGCTTGGCTCATGGCGTATTAATTAATGCATGTAAAATAATATTTACTTCTAGTATAATACATTAAGGGTCTGTTTCACAATGTATGGATAAAGTACCAAATAGCTATGCAACACATAAATTATTTGGAAGATAAATTGTGCTATTTGACACTTCATCGGACTCCTAACTTATGATGGACTTTATGTGACGAATAGCGCTGTCTGACAGTCGTGAAATGCAACAATAGTGTTTATCCTACCAATAAGTAATAAATAGCTAATTTGGAACTTATGTAGAACTTATCCGTACATTGTGAACAAAACCCTAAATAGGAATCCAAATTACCCGATCAATACGCGTGTTGATCCAGACAATCAACTCATGCCTCTTAAGTTGTCTCAGAATAAATATTCATTTTTATTCCCAGACATTTTAGTCCCATCCAAGTATTTATTTTTTAATTATAACATATCAAATAAAATACTTTAAATTACCTCCTTCGAAGCTAAATTTTACTTGATTATCGTAACCTCTAGTCAAGAATATATATTCATCAGTTGCCAAGTTTTCATTAGTGTAATTCAATAAATAGAATGTATTCGAAAATTGCAATTCCTCTGGCAATTGAAATTGTGTATCTGATATTATCCGAACGGTGCCTTCCGTTGTTAGTGGCGGATCGTTTGTTTCATCCATATCCTGGAATTTATAATCAGATTTTGAGTACTTATAGAAGGTCCCTGTAATTTCTTTTAAGGGCGCTATATCTCAAGAGGTTCGCGTGGCCTTTTTAGTGAAAATAAAAGACGAATTATTCAAATGTTTTGCGTAACTAAGATTGGTCATCTCGCATCTCTTGTTTAAAATCTAAATATCATCTATGCATATGGGTAGCACAACGTATACTTATAAAAGTTAATTAAAAAATGCCTCTAAATTTACATTCACTGCCAGTTCTCAATTCAAGGGCGTTGAACGGACGAGAAGAACTGGCAATAAACTCTCCGCTATTCTTTTAAATTTTTTTGAAAATGTTTGTAAGCGGCTGCAACCATTAACATCATACTTCACATGAACGTATCATCTTAAATGAATTATAATAATGTAATCATAAACAATCGTTATCAGAGGGTAATTGCTGATAGGGATTAGCAATAGGCATGTATTAGCCAATCACAATCCAGCGAAATATGCCATGGATTCTTGCAATTTACATTCTTGCTGTGTAAAATTACTAGTATTAGTAAAAACTAAATTTGGTATTAAGTATTTATTAAAGTGTAATATATAATTGTCATGTATTTTATACATAAATAGAATTTGAAAAATTATGTGGTGTAATTTAATAAATAAAATAAATAATGAATCAGTGAATGCAAGTGGGAATCGTCGATACCTAGACTTGTACACATTTTTAATAGTCCGTGTAGACTGTAGATATAATATAATCTACAATAGGATAGCTTTGAAAATGTCTTTTGGAATAGATGTAGTAATTTATTTATATTCATTTTTAAACTTATTTTACATTATTTTTAATATGTAAAAGATATGAAATCTCATACCTATGTACCTATGTCTACATAGGTAAAACTCTACTTACTGTTGCCATTATTTTTAAACTAAGATCGTCTGGTATTGATCTTATAAACATCTTGGCTCGCAATGTTGCTGAAAATTCCTTTGTCGCAGGAGACGAATCGTAAAATATTTCGAAATAATCATTTTCTTCTATGGTGAAATCGACTCTTTGGGTTGTCAAGTCGATATCTCTGGCTATAATTTGCTTGTCACAACCTGTCACTAAGAATCCCGGAGGTAAAGGGGGAATCACAGTGAATTCATAATTGTCTGACGGAAGAAATCGGGGGGCGTTTTGGTTCGTATCTATAATATCTATTTGAATAACCTGAAACATAAAAAAGTCATATAGTAATGAAAATATTTATTTGTTTATAGATTTAATGTGAGCAATATGAGAGCGTTCTAAAATTGTTTAAGCAATTTAAGGTTGATACATTTATGAATAAGGGATGAAGCATAAGTAACAGTCAGCTTATGTTAGATGTATAATAACGTTTTTAAGCTACTCGATTGCATAGCTTCTATCGCGGGCCTTGAGGGGTGTTAGTCTGAGTCTGGTAGAGTGGTAGATTATGGAATAAATATCAAAGTTTTTTGAATTAATATTAAAGAAAAACTTGAATTAATATCAAAGAAAAAAAATGCATAAAAAAAACTAATAAATTAATTATAATTGCATAAGTTGATAAAAAATGCTATGCAATAGCTTTACCGCGGCAGTCCCCGAGTGCCACAGTTATTATTAAGAGTTACTGTTATTACCTATAATTAATAATTATATGTCACATATAAGCTATATTAAACATTAATATTTAGTTTAAATACTAATTATTGTAGCAGAGATTTTATTAAATTAAATGGAGTATTTAAAAGCTTTATTCTACTCTTAGTGACGATTTAACATGCACAATGGCTTTCAATTGTAGAAACAAAAAATTAAAATATCATTTATTCATGTTCGAGTAGGTAACTTATTGTACCTACCCATAGGAACGTCAATAAAACAAATTTATACTTCTAAATTTACATTTCTCAATTCAAATGCGTAGATTGGATGAGAACTGGCAAAAATCTCTACGTTACTCTTTTAAATTATTTGTGACCAATGTTTTTTTAAACAAAATGCTTGTTGGAAGCATTAGATATGATTGTATGAGGATTTAAAGTTTTTTAAAGTTACGCAAATCGATGATTCGTATTAAATGTCCGTCCGTAAGTAACTTTTCGTTAAGAAACTTTAGTAATAACTAACAAAAGTAAGTTAACTTGGGACAGAGATTGTTGAAAAAAAAATAGACATACAGCAAAATTATCAGAAGGTCTATTTTCCGCAAATAGAGAATTCTCATTCTAAACTGTTTAACCAATTTTGATAAAAGGCTTTATATTCAATCCTATTAGGTACTACACAAATTGTAAGGTAAAAGCTTATTAAAAGTTTGATTTCCAGTTAGGCTGTGGCGTAACAATAGGGTGGCAGGGCTGGCAAAAAGTACAATACTGGGCTAGCGTGGGGACTACAGACCATTCCCTCTCCCCGAATTTTTAGAACTGGCCAGTTAGAAACATTGTAGTAGTAACCTAATGTAGTATATTACAATTATTTGTCATTTGTTTTTGTGTATTGGCGGCAAATCTAAAACTCTTGTTACACGTGAAAGTGAACCTAACGCGCGAAAATTTTCGGTCAATGATTTATTATGACTTTCGTTGTGGGCTTACTCAACAACAAAGCTATGATAGGCTGCGATTATCATTTCGTAATGAAGCCCCATCTCGTGCCACTTTTTACAATTGGTTTAACGAGTTTAAGCGTGGACGTAGCAATCTCAATGATGATCCGCGTGAGGGACGTCCTTTAACAGCGACTACTGAAGATAACATCAGTGCTGTGCGACGCATGATAGAGGAAGATAAGAGATAATGAAAGCGTACGAAAATGCCATAGAAGAGACCCCAAGGAAAAAATGGGTCCACCGCTTTTCTCAGTGTTTCCATCGAATACGACGATGTGTATAGAGGAACGGAGATTACTTCGAAAAACAATAAAAGTATTGGCAAATTTCTACATTAAGCCGTTTTTCATTTTCTAAACATTTTCAGTGTTACCTAGGTACAACGTGTAATTGAGCACGCTGAAAATATTGAAGGTTTAAGGATTTCCGAAAGTATAGTAGCTATATAGATTTCTGCAAGTGCTTCGGTATTGAATCATTAGAATGTAGACGTAAACAACACGACCTTATGTTTAAGAAATTATATAAAAACTAGTATCCTTTATTAGATAGAATGGCTTTGTTATTCCTCTTTTATATTAAATATATTATAATGAACAATGAATCTTAGAACTTATTATAAATACATATATTCTTTGTATTTTTTGTTTTTGACGTGACAACGTCTTATAATTCGATGGAGCCGGCTGCACGCACGAAAAAACATGACTCATGCGGCGTTACCTCGCTCTGAGGCGTTACCTCTCTCTGAGGCGTTACCTCGCTCTGAGTCGTTACCTCGCTCTGAGGCGTTCCATTTAAAATTGACATAATTGTATTTATGCGTACAAATAAATGTAACTTGATCAATTCAATTGTGATTTCCATTTACCTCCTTCTCTATATCCATACAAAATACCTATCAAACAAATAAAATTTAATTTTTTTTTTGAAAAATGCAACCATCCCATCAATATTTTTTTATGACGTTGTCACGTTCAACTATCGTCAGTAAACCGACTTTACAGACAACCGATTTTTTTAATTTTATGTGTATTCCGTTTTTGGCTTTTGTGTATAGTGTAATTGTTTGAATATTGTTTAGTAAGTAGCTGTAGGAATACCGTTGAGCATATAAATAAATAAATAAGGTTATTAAAATTAAACTGAGTAGGGACGATTTTTACTAATAGGGCCCCATTAAAAGAATTGCCACGAAAGAAGATTTGCCTCGGGCCCTAGATGGTATAGTTACCACTTCAGTTAGGTAAAGCATTCATAATATTAGTTTCATAAAAGCTTACTAGCGGAGGTTGATTGGTTGATCCTTGCGCGCAGTTGAACGAAACTGTTACTCTCATAGTTTTAGATGTTTCATGCTCCTCGTATTCCGCGAAGTTGGCTCTAGTTGCCACGGTAAATCGCGAATTTTCATACTTCACATCAATATATGGACCGCGGTTTAATCCTTCGCTGTGAACTATGGTGTTAATACCTGAAATAATAGGAATACATAATCTAGAGGCTCGTTCGTATCAAGTATAAAATCAATGGCGCTATAAACTTTTTAGGTCTTGGCCTCAGATTTCTGTATCTGTTTCAAGATCATTGCTTAATTTAATAGGCAAGTAGGAGATCAGCCTTCTGTGCCTGACGCACGCCAACGACTTTTTGGGTTTAAGGCAAGCCGGTTTCCTCACGATGTTTTCCTTCACCGTTCGAGCGAATGTTAAATGCGCACATAGAAAGTCTATTGCACATCCGGGGATCGAACCTACGACCTCAGGGGTGAGAGTCGCACGTAGAAGCCACTAGGCCAACACTGCTCGTATCAACTATAGTACGTTTTTTAAATATTTTGAAGTACTTGATTATTTAGGTAAACAGAAATTATATTTGAAATCATAAGCAATAAATCAATAAATAAACCCGAATATCGCTAAAAACGATTCGAGCTTCGATTCAAAGTAAACGATATTTTTTGAGTTGGAGAGGTAAAGGTGACGTTTTTTGTGTTTTAAAAAATGATTTTGATTATTTTATTATATTTGATTGATGTATTATGGTAACAGGATTACAAATACTTGAAAAAAATCCGGCAAATCGCAAAATATTTTTTTTACTAACTTATAATGTCAGATGTATTCCGATCCAACACAACTCCATTGTGAGTGTCTAATATGCTCTCTTCTACTCGGAGACGCCAGTTTGCAACTCCTTCCATTTGACATGCTGAAAGGTAATCAGATATTTATTACGAAAGTTGACAAATTCCCATATAAACCTACCACTAAAATTTACTTTGAGAATAAAAAAGATTTAATTCCATTATTTTACGAACAAGTTGGTCTCGTACAGAAAACTGAAAAACTATTTATCAATTGACAAAAATAAATATCTTTATAGGAGACCCTAAATCGAAATAAATTCTAATTACGAATAAAACAAATAACAGGACACGCAATAAACAAACAAAGAAAAATTAAGTAGGAATAACAACAAAATCTAAAAAAATACTTAGGAAAAAATCAAAATATAAAAAAGTGCGCATATGGTGTCAGTATATTAAAGATGAAACAAAAGTTATTTTTAAATTCTTAAGGCACTATCTACAGGCATTGTTAAAAACAAGACCATTTGTTAGTTCGCTTCACAGACAATCAAGAAGACATCTACAATTTGTGAAACTTCGAATCATATACCATCCTATGCATCATACCCTAATTCTGACATCTCATCTTAGTAACTGGCGCCTTTGCGCCGGCTAATCAGTCTTTGAACTACTCGAAGATCCAACCTTTAAGTCGAAGGAAACGTACAACAACCTTTCTCCAAAGTCCGTTATATATTAAGTTTATATACTATCATGATGCCTACAATGAAAGCTTAACTAGTTAAAAGCCCTTAGGATAACGGTAATAACTAAGTTGTTAGCATGGACGGAGGTTAAGAGGCACATGGCATATTACCAGAGGTTCTGGGTTGTTTCTCAGAAGGTTAAAAAATTGTGGGTGTGTGTGTTAATAATTGTAACCAATGGCGAACTCGATTTCATTTTTTATTTGCAAGTAGAAAACCTATTGTGACTAACCAAACACAGGTCGTGGTTGTTTGCAAAATAATCTATTATTAAATAAATAATGTTATTGGTTTTGTCAGAAATCGAAGTACGAGGAGTGTTCAATAAATAGTGATAATGCAACACCTTGGAAAGAGAAAAAATAATACAGGCAGTCAAAGACATTAGATATAATAATAATGAAAATTCAATCAATTCTCTTTTGTTTTATAAATCCTTTGTTTGCGTCGTATCAGAACAAGTAAATATGGGTAAAATGCAGTTTGCGCGGTAATATAACATCTCCGCTTGCAAAATGTTACTATGGAGTTGGTATATCAAGACTTTAAAACAACATTTGGGCTTCAAGCTCCTCTATAAATTGTATGTCAGAGTGCTGAGTTAATGCGAGGAAGAACTTCAATTAATGACAACCCGAGCACGAGACGGCATCGGTAATAACTAAACAAATGATAGTTAAAAACATTTCCTTGGGAGATCGCCGTGTTACTGTTCGTTTTATAGCTATTTGGGTTCGAAAAGTGTCAGCGAATTTTGGCTCGACTCATGGACGAAACATCTTTCTACGTAAACGTCTTTACCATTATGACCCGATAACGAAAAATCTGTCCTTGGAAGAGACAGTAATCTCCAACTCCGAAGAAATATAAGAATTTCCATCCGCCAGTAAGATGGGCTGTATTTTTTGAGACAGCCAAGGGGTGATATTGATCGAATACCTTAATCGTGGAGCCACTATTATAGGAACTTTGTACGCAGGACAAATAACAAAGTTACGTGACGCAAGCAACGGCGTGGCAAACTCGCAAAAGTTTTGTTTCACTAAGATAACGCCCGCGTGCATAAATCCAGACTTGCCTGGCTGCCATTCAGAAAACTGGCTTCGAATTGATAGAACATTCTCTATATTCACCGGCCCTAGCCCAGTGATTTCTCTAGTGATCTATTTCCACGGTTATAGGAACATCTCAGGGTTCATACATTGAAGCTGATGACGTTGTCACCGCGATAGTAATTTTTTTAGAGGATCAGGACGTAGATTTTTTAATTTTAGCTTTGGAAAAAAATTTATATACCTGAAAGATAACGACGTGGAAAAATAATAGGCTTTTAATAAAAGATAATTGCGTTATACGCATTATCACTTTTAAATATACCCCTATTAATATTAACTGAAACACTAATTTGGCAAACACTGAGCCTCGGCCTTCTTGGAAGTCATAAACATAGATAAGATAATAACAGAATAGAAAAGACTCACAGTAACACAAGTGCATCAGTTGTATAAACACTATACAGTCTAACCACAATCGTCGCTCCATTTTCGGCATTTTCACATAAAAATATGGAACATCACTTCACCGTCACTTTATTAATGTCACTATCGACCACTTAAAACAACAATACCTGTACTGACTTGAATTATGACTGCTTTATCATTGATACGCGGTGGTCATTACCTGCCAATCATTTGATTCATATCGAAGATAATTTCAAAAGATATCAAAAACGTTAAAATATAATTGAAATTTATCAACTGATTGTTCGAGTACCAAAATAAGACGTGCAAAATGTAAAATGTATTGTTCTAGTTAATCAAATCAAAAACATTTAATTAACATAATAATAATTATTATTTATTTATTAAATCAGACTATCATAAGTCCATGTGGTTATTATTGTGTTAGTTGTAGTGTGATATATTTATATGAACGTCACTAAAAATGATTCTAAAATTACATACGTGCTCCGAAAATCTAGAACCAGTAATCCAAGAACATAACTAGCAAGAAATTCTACGCTACTTTTATCATCAAAGTCATTTGCCATCGATTACAGATCACCATGTCTTGTTTTAAAATTCCATATACGCCGTAGGGAGTACTTTTAATAGTTAGTTAAGAGTTATTTTAATAGGAAGTTGGACGTTTGAACACCGTAGGCTCGGATATTAATGTAAAGTTGTCGGTTTTGTGCCTGATCTGTTTGTTCATACTTTTTTTTGATACCCATCCATAATCACAATGCCAGAAGATATGCCGCATTTGCCATGGAGAGTGTTCAGAGGAGTTGTTCGGATTAATACCTGCAGCTGAGTTTCACCATCGGACGTCAAGGCAGAATACGAAATTCCACCTGTGATCCACCGACGTCCGTCGTTCCACAACTGAGCGTTTTTTAAGGCAGTTTTTGCTGCGCACAACCCCTATGTGGAACCAGCTGCCCACTGAAGTATTTTCGAACCAATTCGACTTAAGGTCCTTCAAGAAAAGAGCGTACCAATTCTTAAAAGGCTGGCACTGCACTCACTCTGGTATTGAGAGTGTTCTTGGGCGGCGGATCACTTAACAGTAGAAGAGTCTCCTGCCCGTTTGCTGCCCTGTTTTATAAAAAAAAGTTTTCATGTTGCCGGCCTTTTAGGAATAAAAATGCTCAAACAATGTCGAGCTATGTGACACAGGCTTGCGTATATCGCTAGTATCGATAGAGGTGAGCCGATATGGCCTTAATGCCAGATTTTCTGAAAAATATATAATATTTCTTCTCGCCCTAGACGCAATATGGCGTGGCATATAGCTGCCACGATTAAATAATAACAGCATCCACGAATAAATTTTTTCCTCTTAATGATTTTTTCTATTAATACATTTTATATATTATTACAATGTTGGTTAAGAATATTGTCAATACTGAACACATTAAAGATAAATATAAATTAATTTTAATTAGATTTTTAAACTTTAAATATGTAAAGTATACATTTCAAAAAGATAATAAAGTATTTAATAGGTCATTAATCATGCAGATTGTTATCTTATCATTTAATCATTAATTGCAACTTCACAAATACCGACTTGGGATTCCAGAAATCTATTTCCGTTATTTTAATGTGAAGGTCAAATTGTCTAAACATAGGTTAATAGGGAAATTGTTGGCGATTTTTTCGCGCATGACTTGTCTTGAGCATTTCATTTCGGAAATCTATAATATATTCGATAATATATTTTATTTTTATATCGTATTGCGACGTATCTGTTTTCATAGGAAATTCGGGATATTTGTATGATAATTTTTTTTTACAAATGTTTGTATATCTGATTGTATTGAAAATCAAAAGGTCCTTGTTTTCAAAAGTATTAATAATAATAATTTATTTATTGCAAGAATATGGTACAAAAATGTATAAGGTGGTACAATCGTAAGTTCGCATATTTTGCCATACACAATTGGCGCGCAAATTTGTCTTAAGGAATTTTACATTTTATATTATTAGTCAAAGTCAATTCTTATTTTATTTGTATCGTAGATATCATATCATACGTTATTAAATTTATATCAACTACACTGTCTCACGCAAATAATCATTTATTGAATAGTACATTTTTTCCAAAAGTAATACACCAAGTCGCTTTTCAAAGACTAGTCGGAAGATCTTTTAATTCTTTTGGTAATTTACTGTAAACCTTAATTGCCATACAAAAGGTGTTTTTCTTAAACAGTTCCAGATTGATTTTTGGCACAGACAATTATTTCTCCCCATGTCTACCTCTTTCGACTTCTACATTCAACTTAAAAATATGTATGCTAGCAATATGTCTTTGCAGTACCTTTGCTAATAGTGTTATGTAGGATACATATTTTAAACGTACTAAATAATGTTATAAAGCAAAAGTATGCTTCCTAGATGACAATGTCAACTTTAAAAAATCCATCCGTTTCACCTTGACATCTGGCGTCCCACGACAGAGGAAGATCCAGACCAGCTGCTATTCCACGCATTTCCAAACCGTTACGACTTAGGAGCCTTCAAGAGAAGAGCGTACTACACTTGCAAGGCATTCAAGTGACCTGCCTTCTCTCCGATGAAAAAAAATGGTGCGTGTATTTCTGACATTAGTACGCACGTAAGAAGTTATACTTCTTTGGCTTTCTTTATTTTTTTAAATAATTAAATAATTAATAATAAATATTTAACGTTAATAATATTTAATACACATTTAGTACATTATTCAATTATTAATAATAATAATAATAATTATTATTTATTATTTTATTATATTATAAATTCAATTTAATAACTAGGTATATTTCATAACCTTTTAACTAAGTAACAATAGGTCTTTGTGAAAAAGCATTGCTAAATT